CTGGTTATTTATGTAATGAACGTAGATGTATCCCGTCTATATATTTCTTAGAAAGAGAATCAAATAATGTCTGAAAAAGCCTAATAGAAGTTTAGATTCGAAGAAATGGATAAAATAAAAGCTGTTGTTTCTTCCCATTGTTTTTTTAAGCAACATATGCAAACAATTAGGACAAATGTCAAGCATCAGTAAAAACAGAGTAGCTAAATGATGTAAGTTTTTCTAAAATTGAGAAATGGTCTATTTTTCCAGTGTTATATTTAAATTAAACTTGTACTTGTTCATCCTTTCGATCGATGCTAGGGCTCACATCTTTGAGTACATAATGTTGGAAAATATTCATCTAAATTAAGAATTCTCGAACTACTTGTTCATACGTGCTCAATTTCTTATTTCAGGTAATGTAGGAGACCTCCCATGTTGACAAAATGTACTACAATATAGATCTAAGCTGTGTAATAGTCGCGGTATAGTGTATGTCAACCTTTTAAGGTCTGCATGTCAAAGCTTAAAAAAATCTTGAAGAATGGCACAAAATTTATGTAAAGTTACTCATGAAAATTAAATGAGCAGCGTTATGGAAATGTCAACAAATAAAGAAATTGTCGTCTTTTTCAATGAACAACTTGTTTCTTTATGCAGCTTTTAGCCTTATTGAATTTTGTCCTTCTTGTGTTACAAAAGGAATTCTTTCTCAAGCTTAAGACAAACATATTTTTGCGCGCACGAAACTAATGGGGCATTCTTTTTACTGAGATAATGGCTTATATAATTCTAAATTTTGTCGAGTTTGACAACATGTCTAACAGAATTGTAAGATGTAGGTGCATGGTCAGAACGTCAAAAAATGCTAAGAGCAACAATCCAATTTCTCTCACTACCATTTAAGCATGAATATAGATAGATAATAAATTCTTTCAAATATTATATAACTAGTCGCATCATAAATCAAATTCCAATAATTTGATAAGTTACTTTGAGCTTTAAGCATGTACTTGTTCTTGGTTCTTGTTGATTTTCCTAAATGAATGCAAAAGATAGCAAAGTAAATAGAAAATGTGGAAGGAGCCTCTATATGATGAAGTAATGCTTGTAGAAATATAATATAACAAGCACTTTCAGGGTATTACAGCTAATTTATTACATTTATTATTCATGACAATACTCGTGATTAAAACTTTCAAAGTAGTACAGCTGTCATTTTAGTACTGGTATCAGCGACATCGATCTAGTTACAGATAACAGGTAAATGCTTTGTATTAAATGATATTGTGTATTTTTATACTAGTGAAGTATAAAATAGATACGCACATTTCAAGTGATGTATGTTTAACGTTTCACATTTAACTGTTGAGCGCTCATTCATAAACCTTTATAACAATTTTTGGCTAAATCTTATGTGTTCAGCAATTTATGTTTCAAAGGTTTTGTAAAGAATAAATTTTACGTCCTTCACAATGTCAATTAAAAATGGAATGCGTGTTTTCTTTCGTATAAACAGAATACATGCAACTTTGACAATATTGCGACACTGTATCACTGTTTTTACATCAAAGAGTTGTGCGGTTTTGTTTTTACTATCTTGATAACATTTTTGATAAGACTATATTCTGTTCCAATTGCGATTAAAGCATGTTTAAACTTTGAATGCGTTAATCTCTGTTGTAGTGTTTGAAAAAGAATTGAAAATAATTGACTATTTCGTTGCTGTTTACAATTACCCGAACTCTTTTCCCAAGGGAATTTTTGCCGAAAACAATTACCGTCGTTTCATTTGTGTGAAATTTTTGTGAGAATATTAAAGAGAGCTTTATGTGTAGCGTCTAATTGAGATGTGAAAAAATGTCATTGAGGCCTCTGTTCTAGCTCTAAGTATATTCTATATCAAAACATATCACTTTAAGTTTAAGGCTAAAGTAAACTGCAATTCACAATTTTACAATTCAAAACTTCAAAAGTATTCTTGTTTTTTTTGTTCTGCGTTTATGTCTTCGCATCTAAACGCAATATTTGAGTCATTTGTTTCTGCACGATGAGCAAAGCTCACTCTAGTAGTGCTTTTCGTCGTCACCGGACGCATAGGCGTACAGTGGTTAACATTTCAGGGGGTGCAGTAAACATTTTCCGGTTCCCCCATAACACAATGGCCCGACCAACGTTGAAAATTTGCTCAACTTTTCAATCTTCAGACCATCCCTCCAGCCATCAACCCCTGTACGGCGAAAACCAGCTTTCACTGCATACCCCTTTCCTTTTTAAATACTATGATTTTCAAGAGATGACTTTCTTAGAGATGACTTACTCTTCACCAAAATTAAACCAATCGACGTGTTCCATTTGTCTCAGCCATGTAATATACTTTTATATTTTCGTTATTTGTTGTATACACTAACCTAACAAAGGAAAACGCTTTTAACTTAATATCTGTTGCGTGTTGCAACGTTTCGAATGACAAACATTTTAAGAAAAGTTAAATGTCTCTTAATATATCATTTAAAGAATAAAGATTTATTAAAATTTTTGCTTATAATATTGGCCAAATTTCTTAGTTTCCCCCAAATTTATTGTGCTCTTAGAATTAAATAAAACATCGTATATGAATCTACGCAATATATGTGATGACGTAATGTTTGAGGAATAAAATAGTTTACGTATGCAAGTTTTTACAAGTAGATAAAATGCTGGTCTTAGAAATCTTTTAAACTGAGCAGAAAAGTCTGATACAGTGCACGAGCAATTTTGACTCCATGAGAGTAGAAATTGAAAATAATTTAAAATTTTTTTCTTAAACCACAAGTGCCTGTATTTATCACACTATAATATTTCTATGGTTTCACAGCAGGAAATTAAAATTAATATTAAAATTAAAATTGAAATTAAACACTCACTATTTGCTGCCAATCAGGACTTGGGAAATAGCTACAATTAAATCTTCCATAAACGCACAAAAAGCCCCAGTTAGCTAATAACACTATCATTTGAGCATCCGTAGGAACGAAAAACAGACAAAGGTAATGAAATTATTTTTATGACGTATTTATAAAAACGTTTATCCCTTGATGACAACTAAAGCTATGCTGCATGTACTTTTTGTACACTTATGTAGCTATGTTTGAATTTTTATGTAACTAATTTTATCGCTACTACGTACAAGATTTATACTCGATATAAGTTGAGGAAGTGTGTTATGGTAGTAGTAGCTAGAAAAGCCGTGTCTATAGCATTTCAGAGAGCTCAAGGGAAGCTTTTCTTGTATCGTATTTCTTTTTGTCTTCTCAATCAAAAATTTCTTCCTGAAAAAAATTCTAGAAAATTAAACATTTTACTCTATTTTCAGACTTGCTATCTAAAACCATTCGTCGTGAAAAACATTTTCACTTGTATTAATTAAAGTACAATTTGGGTAAAAATACCTTACGAGTTCTTCTCCGTTCCACAATATAAACCAACCATTTGTTTTTCAATCAGCACTTTTTCAAATCATTATTAAATTGAGCACGTCTTTTTTCTTTCAGTGTTAAACTTCTAATAAACTTGTACTTGTATAGTTAACATATTTAAATCATATATAAGATGATGGACAATATATATTCAACTAAATTAAGAATTCTTGTAGATACCCCCTATTGGCAAAGTGTGCGCAAATATAGGTCGCTAGATGTGTGAAAATTATGGTGCTAAGGCATGTTTAACTTTTGAGGTCTGCTTGTCAAAACTTAAAAACAAATTAAGAATGAAGCCAAATTTATGCAAAGTTTTTCATGAAAGCTAACTAAGCAGCGCCATATATCGAAATATTAACAAAGAAAGAGAATGGCGACTTTTTCCATGAATAAATTGTTTTTTATAAAGCTTTTTTTAATATAAACTTATTGAATTTCTCAAATTTAAGACAAACATATTTTTTTGCACACGAAACGAACGGGGCCTGTTTTTACTGAGGTAATGGCTTGTAATTCTAAATTTTGTCTAGTTTGGTATCAAGTATAACAGAATTGTAAGATATAGGTGCTAGAACGTCAAAGTCCAATAATCTGATTAGCTACTTTGAGCTTTAAGCATGTACTTGTTCTTGATTGTTGTTGATTTTCCTAAAAGAATGTAAAAGATGGTGAAGTAAATAGAAACTCAGTGTGTCATTTGCGCCACCTGCATGTCATTACTTCCTACGCCGAATTACTAACTTTGTCGTCTAGATGTTGTTAGTTTTCAATGAATCTTTTTTTGTATGCATTTTTTCAAACGGACTAAAAAATTCAATGGTCTGACCCGACGTAGGTATATAATACGGGGAAATGTTGCTGTGTAGAAGAAAAGTTGGGGAAATAAGGAAAATCGTCGTAGAGGGAGGTAAGGGGAAAATAAAGTTTTGGTAGGTGAAATGTGCATACACAGAGTGGCAGCACTTACTGACAGCATTATTAATATAAATTTTTATTCCTTTGAAAACATATTTTAGTTTTAGTTTTGTCCAAATACGTTTTACTCTTATCACTGAAAAGCCCTTTATATATGTTCTGAAAATCATGTGTAAGTGATGGACTTGTCTTAACATGGAGAAATGAAGACATTTTGAAATAAACAAAAACCACGCATGTATTTAAATAAATTGCGTCGTCTAGTATAGCGTATAGCTATATGGCTTCTTATATAAATTACATAATCTTATTCTTCACATCTTTACGTTTAAAAACTAGTATTTCTGATTAGGTTTTAGCTACAGCTAAGTATGGAAAAACCTATACGTATAGTAGAACTAGATTTTGAACGAACCAGGCAAAGACTTTCCCAAAACACATTTGCCTTCAATGCGTAAAATTCCAGAGATGTTTTGTTTTCCAAAAATGAGGCAGATATTACATGGGTTTGATGTAATGTATTTCCACGTAGTCAGTTTTTTAATGACTGTAGAAAATAAACTGACTGTAGAATGGCATAATTCTATACATTAGAATGATTAGATTGTAACGAAAAAAATTTGAACGTTATGTAAATTACAGAAGGAGAAAATAAACAATTTAAGAAGGGATGTAGTTGACTGTCTGCAGTATGTCAAACTTTTTTGCCACGTTGCATTGTATGCATACTTGCAGGTGTGTTTCAACTCAGATTGACGATGTTTTGGAGTCTTTTAAAATATGATGGGAAAATTATCGATGACACCTAAAATGTTTTTCAGTGTAACGATGTCCATTTCCGTTGAAAAAGTGATAAAGATGCTGGACGACAAGATAATATCAGGATTATAGACTCGGTAATAGTTTAGGTAAGTCTTATCAACATTTTTACGGTCTTGCGTTATAATGTTATCATTTGCTGGGAAAATGATAACCATTGTTAGGCTCAGGTTGCTTTGACAATGCCATGCTGGGTCGCTTGCGTTGCCTGGTATTTCTTGGCATTCACTTATTACTTTTTCAAATATTTTTTCAAATTGTTTTTTTATATATGAAAAATAGTAAATTTATAGTATTATAGGACAATAATTTGTCAATTAAGTATTGAATACAGCAAAAGATTTTTGTGAATTTGAACATCCTTTTTAAGTTTATTGCTAGTTTAAAATGATATTAAAGGTGAGCAAAGTAATCCTGTTTGGTCCAGTTGTTTATTCATTGTATTGATACTCATTGCATTGTCTCCATTTTCATTTCCATTTGCAAAAGCATCACAAAAACTCTAAAAAGAAAGCAGACAGGCCCCTTCATACAAGAGCAGCGTCGGCACTGCCCTTCTATTTACGGAATGTTAAGTTATCTCAAATTAATCTTGGTGACAATAGTATTATATTGTTACGGGTTGGTGAGTTATTTCTTGTTGTAACATGATTTCGTTACACTAAAACTGACTAGGTAATGCACTTTTAATTTTTAAGCAGGTGCCATGCAGATATCTCAAAGAATTAAGCAGCTGTACCTGCAATGACTAAAGATGAAGCCGACGTACTGTTTAACGAAGGAGAATATTTTTTTATGAGGATGAGTTTCATTGATCCATAAATTTCTTCTGAGGAAGATCCTGAAGAACATACTCGAGCACTGGGAACGACAAATAATGACCCAAAGACTTGTTAATGCACGGAAATAATTTCCGTTAATTGCATCAAAATATTATTTAAATATGCCACAAATTTTAGTTAGATGTGCATGCATAAATGTGCGTGTTCCGGCTTTTTTTTGAGACAAAAACAGGTTTTCTAAAAAAACTGCTCATCTTTGAAATCAGTCAGCGTTTATAATTTGCATGATTTTGCTGTAAATGATGCCCAAAGAAATTACATACGAAATGCGGCTCTTGTAATTGCAAATTTCAAGCGTTAAACTTATTTCAAGTACGTTTACGTAAAGATTAGAGCATGATCTCGTGTGTTCTATGGGATTCAGAGTTCCAAGCATTAGGCCTGTTTCAAACGTCGCATTTTACATGAGCCGACTGCATTTAAAGCAAAAGATATTGAGCAATTTTCTCCCATTTTCTTTTGTTTTAAATGCATTCGGCGCATGTAAAATGCGACGTTTGAAACGGGCCTTAGATAGAATAACGTGTTTATTTAACCTCATTAGTGTTTTATACATAGGCAATACTATAACAAGGAGTTAAATAATAACAACACAATATCCAAATTAGTATTCTCAATGTAGAGAAAACTAATGAGATTTGGAGAATACCAATGAACTATTGTTCTCCATTGTTTTCACTCCATCTACTTATATTATTTGAGATTTATAGCACTTTATGAATGTTAGGCACTATGAGATATAGAGCATCAAAATACTGGATGCTGATTGGCCGAGGTTTTTTTGGCCATTTTCTAAGCCTCCTTAGGGGTTGCTGCAAACCAGACTTAGAAGTGTGGGCTGGTACAAACAGACTTGTTTCACCGGGTTGTTCTCGCATGGTTGTGTAGTATCCCTTTGAATGACTGTTTATTCCGAATATAAAGCTCGTTTATTTTGGAAATGTTACAGATGGATATGACAATTTAAAAGAACACAACCAACACAACCATATCTCATTTGGTGTTAAGACTTTAATAAAGTGAAATATCATTTAGCCTTCGAGAAAAACAGCTATGTATAATTTGTGTCCTCTTCTTTGATAAAATTTTAAATTAAAAATTATCTACTTTGAATCTCAGCTTGTCAATATTTGCGCCAAGCAACATTATTTTGCTAGAGGTAAATTTAATATTTATCTCCATCGTCTTCAATTTTATATTTATCTCCAACTCATATCAATCCATTAGAGTGTTTATATCATGACGCTCAAGAAAAGCTTATGAATTTACTGTTAGGTCTGATGTACAGGGTGAGTGATTTCATATGATTGCGTTGTATTCACGATTGTACTTATGTAAGGTGACCGGTTCATATCAATTTATGAGGTGTTGCTTGAGTAGGGCATCGTTTAGCTGTCACAAACATTGAATGCGTGTGATAATGTGATTTTAACTTTAATTTTTGAGCAAGTACATATTTTGAATTTATTTTCTAGCTACCATGTTGTGGCATAGCACATTAGAATGTTCATTATATTAATTATTATATCATGTATTGAAGGGAACATAGAAAGGTAAATCCTTATTACCTATTTAAGTGAAACTCTCACACAAAAAAAAACGCAGATTGCTCTGAAAAATTGCTGAAATTTCATTAGTTGACGACAAACTTTTTTGTTGTAAATTTGTGACCTTGGCTAATTCAATGTAGCAACGTTTGAAGGGGAACTCCACACTCACATAATGTTGGTGTTAAAAGTTTCATCTTTATGCAAAAGTTACTATATTTTGAAATTTTGACATCAGCTATTTTATTTTTGACAAAATCGCGTCTTTAAGTGCGCAATATGAGCTGTTTTGTAGCGTGGGCACAGAATGCGTCAGTAGCGTGGGCACAGAATGCGTCAGCGGAAATTATTTGACGTTATATCGTCAAACAGATTTGGAGTTGAGTTTACAACAAAGTAAAATAATAACGCACTGCCCAGCACAAAAAAAAACAAAACAATCGCTTATAATGGCTTTTTTGGAAGAACCTCGACCTAATTCACCAATCGATAGTGAAATGGAAGGCAGTCCAACAAACAATATTTGGCCATATCAGTTTGAGCCCGAATGGCCGTCTGATGAACACGAAAAAGTGCTGCATATTTATTTTCACGGGACAGACAAAGTTTTAAAGCAAAGTTAATGGGATAGTGGAGTTCCCCTTTAAGTCGTGGTCATACTTATTAAACTGCTGTAAAACACACTCTAATTGTGAAAACTTTATTGTCATTCTTAAGGAACTGCGTCTCGGTTTTTTGCATGTAATTACCCTGTTTCGTTTAATCAATGTTCCGCATTCCACGTCACCAAACATATAAACATTTGTACTTCAAATCCATTCGATGAAGCACTCTTTTGAAGCCATAAGTGTGATGTTTAAGGATTGATTTTGCGAAGAGATGTCGTTTCTACTTCTTTTCTATATTAGGCCTGTTTCAAACGTCGAACTTAACAAGCGTCGAACTCATTAATGACAAAAGAAAATGATATGAACTTCCTCACTATTGTTCTAAATGCATTCGCTTCATGTAAAGTTTGACGTTTGAACTAGGCCTTAAATTCGCTATTTTCAAATACACTGTACAGAACTGTGTGTTAGAAATTAACCTATTGTAAAAAATTCCAAGCCTGATCACTGCGCAAATCTCACTGGTGCATTACTGTGGATATTTTGTGATTAAGAGTTATGTTGAACTCTCATGAGCAGAAAAGCTTTCGTACTATAGTAAATATATATATATATATCATATGTGCACGTAGCTCACAATAGTTTATGCCCCCTGAGCTTAGTATAGTGATAGATAAAGTAATTATCGCAATACATAAATTTCTAAAGGTTTTCTTTTTTGATACACCCTGTAGATTTGATGCCTTTCAAGGTTAATGAAACTTATGTTAAATATCAATTATCAAATAGTTATTGTGTCAAAGTCAGAGTCAGACAAAGTCATCTAAGAGACTTGAAATAATTTTTGCATCGAATAATGTATCATAGTTCTTCACTACGTACACATATATAACGTTCATATTGTGGTAAAGGCATTGAATTTCTGTTAATGGTTCAGATGTAGTCTATAAACGTAGCAATCGTATTTTATAATGTCTTCATTTTTTAAAGATTCCGATGTTTCGCGTTCATTGTTTATTCGTTATTGCGCAGATAATAGTTGAAAGTTTTGCTAAGTTTCATTATTCAAGCAACTTTGCCCCATCCTTAAGATCACTTGGTAAAGTGTCTATATTAAGTTATATACAAAGATAATTCACATGTTCTTATAATTGAACTAACTATCTAAGGAAGTGATTTACCTGACTCAGATATAGGCACTTAAATCGTTCGTTTTTTTTGTAACTGCTTTGCGGCATTTGTATTTGGGCTTCTCTTTTATAATCTATTTAGCTACCTGAGAATAGGAAAAGAAAAATGTCAGTGGTATGAAGGAAATATTTGCTGCCTGTGTGTTATTTTGTTGCTTGAGTGTTATTTGTTTTTGTGTGTGTTCTGCCAGTTCTGGTTGAACGACAGTTTTTGGTCCCCCGCGTTGCTAAATGAATCAAATATTATATGAGTCGTCATCACGACATGACTTGCAAAACGACATTTTGAAGATGTGACTTTTTCAGTTCATTATGATGTTTTGACTTATGAATGAGTGCTCTAGGTAAAATGTGAAATGTTTCTGTTCAACACAATTTTTATAATCTTTGAGGGTGGGTGTTATAAGAATGTTTATGCCAATCTCAACTTGTTGAAATTGCAACTTTTATTACATGATGTACTTTTATAAATTTTGCAACCATGTAAAGCATTTACTCCGTGCTTAGTTTGAATTAATACCAGTGTAACTCTACAAAGTATCACCAAGTACAACTTGCTTTAGCTGAAGGCACAAAAGCATGAAAGATTGCGTGCAGGAATATTTGTGCATTTCATACAATTGAATACAATACATAGAAGCTAGAAGTTATTTATATCAACTAATTATTCTGTTGCACAAAGGCAACGTGTGTGTTTAAGCATTTTTCTAATTGCTGAAGGATTAAGATAAAATAACTTTTTTAAAGAAAATTTCAATAGTTTAAAGAGTAGGTGTCTACAAAAATGTCAAAACTTCTGCTGATTCGTTAAAAATGGAGCACAAAAATGTTGTAATTTTATATACGTGCATTATTGCCTTTTGATTACGACGGCACGTCTAATTGAAGAAGTCATTTCTATAAATTTCATTCTTGTCGAAACAAGCAGCATCTTTTTTATAAGATTTGCGAAGTTATCACGACTTTCTCACGTGAGCAATTTCTTTACTCCCAGTGACAGAGGCTTGTCATGAAAATAAATATGTGCGTAAATTATACGTAGAATGAATAAAAACATTTGCTCGTGGAACAATTTTTGTTGATAGTTTTACATTACATGCGGGAAAATGATGAACTATAACCGTTACACATAAGTACACCAAAATCCATCTTAGAAATAGCGAAAACTCTGACAAATGTAGGTCTTATGGTATCTATTCTCGATCATATACATTTCAGATCATTCTATTTTAACCGATACCATTTCAAAAGAAACTATTTAAAATATGCCTTTTCATTAGATACTTTCTTAAATTGCTGTTGCCTGTTAGCTATTTCAGTATGCCATTTCGATAAAGTTTCATTTATGCTGTTTTGAAAAAATATGATAGTTACAAACAATTATTTTGAATAATGCAGTTTTAAAAAACGTATTTCCTAAACTTGAAAATGCGATGAGTTGACATAAAATTCATGATTGTGTTATGGTTGGCTCCGTTGTAGCCATCCTTTCCATTGCAGTGATTGAAAATACGGTCTTTTAAATTGCTCCAACTTAATTAACAAAAATATGGAAACTTTTTTGATGTAACACCTTTTTGATTAAAGAAAGATTGTCATGCCAATATTTTACCTAACTTTCATTAGTCAACATATATAGGACTTAGAATAAACTGCTCTTTCACTACTAAACTTGAACAGAACAATCAAACCTACTTTGTACTTTAATACTAAAAACAATGTAATTTTTTCCTATCGCTGTTAATTTTTCAATTATGTATTAAGCCGTACTTCGCACTTCTTTATTATATCGCGCTGTTTTTTTGTAGCTTGTGCATTTCAACAACAGAATTTGAGTTAAATTATGACCAATTTTTGCGAGATGGAGACGATGCATTGTTAACAATTTGCCATTATAAAACAGTTTGAGACTACTCTTATTTCAACCAAATTCAAGCTCCAAATCGATACGTCCGTATACTTACGTATTGAACAGACAGTATAACTACAGGCAAGTTTATACACTGCATGCAATTTTTGTTAGATCGTGTTATTTTTAAGGTTATTGTTGTCATAGTATTTTGGTAATACCATACTGTCTATATTGCCGACGATTCTGTGTCGATCAAAAGTGAAAGGCTTTTTACTTTAGCATTTCATATTGATGACGCGTGTCTTCCAGCATCTTCGTGTTCCTGCACTTTGACGCAGCCGAATTCAAACAAATTGAAACAATTATGGAATTTCCATAAGTTTAGAAAGTGGGGGTCGTAGGAATTTGAAAATTACTTTCGATTTTATTATAATCAGAACCGAAAATTATTGCTATTTTATAGAGTATATGGAATTTTGTCGTGAAAGTTAGTTGGTTGCTTGCTAGCAGCAGTGATATTCGCAGTGATATTTGAAACACCGGCAATCATTGCCTGACTGAGTTACTAAATATTTTCTTAAAATGCCACGCAAAATTAGAACCTGCTGTGGCTTTTAATTGTAAATTAGGGAAGGAGTACGAAATAAATTGTTGAGTTGAGACTGCCAAAGGTCAGTTTGAAGAGACTCGCAGAAGTATCCAGAGACGTTTTTCGCGTGAACAATAGTATATCTACAGTCGATACAGGTGTGTAATAAGAATAATGGTGTACATAAGTATTTGTTAAATTAATAAAAACGACAAGTTTTTTTAAAATAAACAAGTTTCAACATCTCATGATGCCATCTTCAGGAATGTTATGTATGTGATGAATATTTGTAAGAGTAGTATCAATACAATGTCTTTGGCAATGTTATGATGAAACTCACTTGTAAACTGCCGAAGTTGCCGACAGTTATTGTTAGTATTAAATTCAAGGAAAATTAGTGAATCAATAGTTTATTTTTTCAAGTAGTTAGAGCTACATATAATATAAATGATGCCAAAGTTTCTTGTAAGATACAGCGTGTCAAAGAAATAGTCCTAGGCTCCTAGCAGAGCATTTAGTATCGTTAAAAAGACTTTGTTATATGATATAAATTTTGAGAAACATCCAACGATAACGTCATAACGCTGCTCGTGAAAACACGCTGTAGAGCGTCATGGATATTGCATACTGTGTCGTGACTTTAATTTATTAAACGGGTCTCCATGTTGGTGCCTGTTTTCTCGTAAGGTCGTTTTAATAGAGGAGAAAATTCTAAAGAGCGGCAAAGACATTTCGAAAAAAATCATAATGTGTAGTTTTTCCAATCAACTCTTTGAGCCACACATGCTGGCAAACTTTGCGCAAGTAATTACAGTTCTGTTCAGTATTATTATATTTAACTGTGTATATATAAATGGCAATTTTCAAATAAGAAAATATTAAATGTCATCTAAATCAAATTGAGTTTGTTTTTTCTTAAAGGTCAATCTATATATAATATATCTTTAAGGAAGATGATATGAGCCCTTAATTGCCATAAAACTTGAACAAATGACATTTTGGTTTTGTGTATATCGTATAATAATATAGGATAAACAATAAGGATAACAATTTTTAAGATTGTCAAGACTTAACATAAATTGCTAACAAATCATTTCAACCATTTGCAGACAAGGAAACAGCTATAAAGTTTAGTCATTCAATCGATACATGGAAAACATTGAAAGGCGCGTATATGGTCTTGTCGACAATGTGGGCAATCTCAAGAAAGAAGTTTTTAATGTCAAATTTAAAACCGATTTGAATAACTCGGTACCTGAAATACAGAAAATGTATGAATTGTTAGACGAGCAATCGTCAGAGATTAAAGAATTGCTTAAAGAAATCGTTCAAGGAGAGAAAAAATTCAATGCAAGAATTGACGAATTGACTACAAGCAATAACGAATTGAAGGCAGAAAATAAGGAAATTAGGCAAAATGTAAAAGATATCCAAAGGCAATATAACGAATTGAAGGCAGACAATGACCAATTGAAGGCAGAGAATAACAAACTTACGCAAAGATTAGAAAATATGCAAAAGCAAATTAACGACTTGAGTGCAGACAATGAAAAATTAAACGCGAAAATTAACCTAACGTTGGCAGGCAATGAAAAAATCAAGCGAGAACAATTTATTCAAACTTTTTAAAGCAGATTTTAGACACCAAACCTATGTTACTTAACTTCTAAAAAGCACTTGATATCCGTCTATAGCATCATTTACGATGTAATGTTTTTACAAATATGTCTAGTTATGCTGGTAATTGTAATTTTACTCGTAGATATAAACATTGCTTAGTTTAATAACTTCATTTACACTTGTAATAATTTGTATAAAAATAAATTAAGGAATAGCTATACACAGTAGGTCTCGTGTTCTTTATTGAGTTCTATAAAGAATTATTCATGGTTCAACTTTATTAACTATTTAAAGTAGATGTTTGTAAATGTAGATCGTCAAGGTTGGTATAGTCCTGAGAAGGACTGTTTTTGTTGTTGTTGACTGACGTTTCGACAACCTTAGCGGTAGTCATCTTCAGAGTCAAAAATAAATAAATAAAAATAGAGTAAGTTTTAACCTACTTTATTTAAAGTAGGTTAAAACTTAAAACTGCAGATCGCTTGAAGGAAGCGGGATTTTGCCATATGAATGCGAATACAAAATGGCCCGGCAAACTGGCTAGCCTGGCTTTGGCGGTCTGGCCCGTCTCATATGAACAGGCCCTAAGAACAACAAAAATATATATACACACCAGATGTATCTAAAATCGTTCGATTGTCACGTGTCCACTGATCTATATCTAATGAACTAAATTAACATTAACTTAAACAAATGAAATACTTTATGTTATATTGTATCATGTTAACAATGTTCAAACTATTGAAAACTTTGGCGTTGTCACTAAAACTTAGTCAACTCTTGATTTAGTTTTAATAAGTGTAACTTATGATACAAGCGACGAAAACGGAGCTCATGCTAACAATAATACTAGCTCTAAACAAAGAACAGTTCCAGGGACTATGGCCATGTGACCACCGGGTTCTTAAAGGTGTGGAAAATTTATCTTTATCGTTACTTTTACTTTTACTTTTACTTTTACTTTTGGAATTTGGAAAGTTTCCTGTCAGTTTTTGATAAATCTATCACATTCCTTGATTAATGCCTGTTAGCCTACCAGGTTATTTCAGCACGTTTTAACTTTTTCTGTCACCTATCAGAGATGTCCCCAGAAGAATTCAAAAGAATCACGCTAAAAACTCGTACTTGCCTATCCTGAATCCGTGATGATTTTAATAACGTCCTTGAGGGCGAGTTATATCGGTATGTTGCAGTTGCCAAATTCTTCGAACATGACAAACCAGACGACATTGGCAGCAAGCACTTCCTGCTCAGGTTTATCATGTCCAAATGCTAGCAGACTACTTTTTCCAACGTCGAGACTGCCTTGCAAATTTATCTTGTAGTGATGGTCACTGGGCACGTCGATGGTTCAATACCAGGCCAATTTAGCAATCATGACCATATAATCTGATGTCATGCGTGACTTGGATCTATCTGTTATCATTAAGGAGTTTGCAGTACAAAAATCAAGAAAGGTTAATGTGTAATGTTTGCACACTGTCAGAAGATGAACTTTAGAGATGATGGCGATAAAGATGATTGTATTGTATTGTTAAAAAAAGGCCCAAATGTGTTTGCCCTTCTTTTTTGGACACGTGGGCTGATTTCAGACCCTTATAGGTGTTTATTATTGGAGTATTTTTTGACTGCTATTATTTTTGTTTTTTTCTAAACACTAGGAAAATCACATGCACTCGAGTATTGTTGGTTGAGTTATGTAATAATCATATTTACGGTGACGATAACTTAACGAAGAAATCAAATTTATGAAAGAAAGATGTTGGGATGGGTCAATACAATTTCAAAAACCAGCTTTGTCAATATTTTAAAATTCCCATGACTCATTGAAAGCTATTGCTGCATTCAATCAAAGAAACAATCAAAGAAATTGATTTTCTTAAATTTTAAAACCCTCCGTTTTGCGGGAAATTCTATGGAGCCGATTCATTAAGTATGAAGATTTAAATAAATTAATTGTCCTTCATTTATATCCTTCATGAGTGAGCTTATTCTCAATAAGCTTTTCACTTAAATTTTTTAGAAGAGCCATATAAAATTTATTTAAATAAATATAGCCAAAACTTTAATGAGGTACCTCGGGGAGTCTCATATAACACAGGGTAAATAAAAATGAGATCTTTAGAAATTAAACCTATATGTTTATCATTTCATATTTACATGCTTCCATACTCGTACATATACACAAGTTTTTTAGCCCATGAAAATTTGACATGACTGGAACATTTTTAAAATATGCCTTGTAGGAAATTGAATCGAATTTGCATGTTTACGGACCAGCGGGACCAGCATTTGTGATTTGGCTTTCAAATTTTGATAATAATATGATTCTATAGGTATTTTTATACACCCTGAAATTTTCATTGCAAATATACAATCGTCGAATGAATTAATTTTACGTTTTTTGAATTAACTGCATGCTGATCTTGAAATCGATTGTTCAGCGAGCAACTGCACTGGGAATATGTGGAAAGCAACCATTCTAAAAGGAGTCGAAGGAGAAAGAGATTTTCGCCATATTAGAAGCCAAACAGTTTGTTTCCTATATTAAGCCATGTATCCTGTTTGTGTGCCTGTGTATGTCTAGCCCCAGTGGAATTCCTTTTGTAGTATTACAATATATGCTATTCAACGAATCCAATTATCGGGCATCGCCTATTTTATCAATTCAAATGAGGAATGATAAACATGTATAAAAATGCTGGTAAAGTACATATATGTAAGTATAGGATAAAGTGGTTAAAGAGGTAATCGAAGTGTAAACGAACGGTATATACTTTGCGAAATCGGTCTGATTGCGATCTCAAGAAAGAAGAACAATCTTTTCCATCCTTGTTGTAAAAGAATTTGTTACAGAACTTCTGTGTTTGCTGTTTATTGTATAAATATATACTATTTACGAAGTTCTAATCGGGTTGGAAAATTTTGATAGCCTTGTCGACAAACGGAAAGTATTACTTGATTATAGTTTCATCTTTATGCTTCGAAGATGCTAGTTTTTATGAATAAAGTTTGTGTCATATCTGTAAGCCGTTGTAAAATTTAAGTAAATTTGCTTCTCTCTGCAAACTGTTTGAAAATGATCGTACGGAATGGTAAATTATACAAGATGAAAAAATCATGTTATACACTTAGTAATGCAGTTTTATTGTTCTGTCAAGCTTAATTCGGAACTTGTATGTTTGTTTGAGGAAAATTTTGGTTGAATTAAGTTCATCATCGAAAAGACGAATCTTTATGACCAATAAAATGTTTGTCTGTAGTTTGGATTCCTTGCAAATGCAGTTGTTCATGTATGTAACAGCGAAGGGCCCCGCTGTTACGTGTGTGGTCAGCTACATTTAATCCGAATCAATTCTACTGTAAACATTTTATTGATGTGGCTCCTCACGTACGTTGGATGGAAGGTATTAGCGATGCTTTCTGTTTTTTGTTTATATTATACTTCAAAGTTCAATACATGAAATCTACTCCTATATCGAAGTCGAACGTCTTTTTAGGATGGGTAATATTGACAGCAGTATTTAGTCGGAGATATAGTGACATGGCAATACTTATGTGAATGTAACGAATACTGGACAAAGTGTACCATAACTTTGGTGTGGGTTTGTTGATAAACAGCAATGCTAGTTAGAATGCAATGATGCACCGTGGCGATGTAAAGAAGATGATAAACTCTGCAATGTTGAACGTCTGAAAGTTACAAAATGTAGGTTTTGGATTGCACTTGGATGTGGCGCCATATTTGGTTTGTTTCGTGTTAGTAAAATGAAAGTTATTCAGAAAGGAGATACGGGAAATATGATGTACACATTGGTGTTACCAAGATTGTGGTAGTCAAGTCTACAATACGTGAAGAGATGAAAACAAGAGTAGATGAGCTGTCAACTATTCAGATTTCTTCTTCATTTCATTATGTTATAATAGAGAATGCTTGACATACACAACACAAGGCAATTGCATGCGTAATATACTGTTTTGAATGTGAAAAGACATTTTTTTCTTTCTTTGAGTATCGTATCGTTTAATATATACAGAACCATTTCCCTTACGTCGAAGTTCCTTTGCATTTGAAATTGTTAGATTCCCTAGCGTTTTAATGATAAGTGGATGTCGCAAAGGATTTTCGACGTAAATTTTGACTGAGTTATCATCACAAAAATGATTACAATAAAACGTTTATCAACTTCTTTAAAATGGGGATTAGTGATTAGATTTACCACATCAACAGTAAGGATTCAAACAATTTTAATTCTACACGAAAGCAACATAAACTCGTAAGTCTTTAGAAAAATCAGGGGATATTCATAAAATAATTTCAAAATGCTGCATGCAGTTGGCAAGTATGACGTGATGAATTTATCAAAAGCTGTCGTTCAGCTGGAAAGTGACTTATCTGGTAACTTGGCCATCAGTATTACATACGCATCTACGCAGAAACATTCTTGAAGAACATTGAAAGAACTTGACCTGACTGCCCCATTTTAAAGATTGCCTAAAAAAAGCAAACCAGCGCACTGAATGACAAGTGGAAATGTGGAATGATCAATTAAGCTCCTAGAAGAGAACTAACATGTCCTTAATAGTTTGCTTTTTAAAAAACTTGTTTCCTTTTGAAATGTCTATTTAATAAATGGATACATCAAAACCAGTGCATGATGCTGCCAAAGTATAACACTATCTGAATTAGCCGTCGAAAACTTAAGAAATCCAAAATTATTTTATAATTTTCGTTTTGTCTAAACATCTGAAAAGTCGAAGTTACTCATGTTTGCTCGGAAGGTTTTTACCAGGTTAGCTGGTTTTCTTTCCATTTCGTTTCGCCAAAAATGTGTCCGTGATGTGGGGCCGACAAATGATGACAATGATTCAGATGTTTTTGTCTTCAGATTCATTTTTATGGTTGAGAATTTTTGAATTTGCGCATTTCGAATTTAAGAGTTCGGCCTCTGGGTTAGAATCCTTGAACACCATAAATATAATTGGTATAAAATTGCAGAATGAGGCATTGAATTGCAGATTTGTCGGTACAAAATCTCGTCCATCGGGTGACATGTCAAATCATTTTTGATTTCAGTAATAGTTTGAAGACTTAGACATTTTACAGTTTAAGTTTAAGTATACAAGAGTCGAAAAATCATCAAAAGTCTTGTAGGACAACCAAATACAAAAATATATGCATTCAATGAAAAAGCTTGCACGCACTTAGTAGCCTTTGTTCTTGACTTGCAACTGTTCTCTTCGGATTCACGGAATATAATGTTGCACAACCACTGTACAAGATGCTTACGCTAACACCACGGCTAACAATGGTAAAATATTCTTTGTATTAGATGAACAACATGGCTAAATTGCAATCGAAAAATTGAACAACTAAATTCAGTAATTCTGTTTCTAAAATTCTGATGATGCACTGAAAAATCAAACAGAAATTAATGATGCTGTGAAATTTATATACGTTTATGTATTGTGAAGTGCAATCATGGTAGCTTTGCATATTCTCATTTTACTTGAAACCATCTTAAGTTTGTTTCATGTTGATTTATATGTTATTTTTGTCATGATGATGTTTTTATTGACATTGACAGAACAACTTAAGAAAATGCGACAACTCATCCATAATGCACGATGAGCATTCAGATGAGCATGCTGCTCACCATTCTTGCATGATGAGCATTCATCATTCAATATATATATGAGCAGTATTCTTTAAGTATTTGATAATCAATACAGACGTTCTTGCCCATTATCAATTGCAGGACTAATACTATATTGAAATGCAATTACTGCATGTGTTGCACTGGCGTTTACTACCTAAGAAAAACGTTATATGTTTTCTGGTATTTTGAAAGTTTTCCCTTCTTATTTCAAATAGCAGCATGCAGTGCAATACTATTTGCTTCTACTAATAAATTTATTGAATCGAAAACACTTTCTTTGCTAAGAAACTATTGAAAACTTTGTAGCTATCTAACATGGGGGTGTAAATGATCAGAACATTTTTGAATATATGTCTTCTATAAGTGCTGGTCGGAGTTCTTTATTGCAAGAGCTTTGAAGAAAGAACTGTAGATGCAAAACTTAATGATGAAATTTTGTTAGTTTTGTTAGCACAGAATATTTTTGGACTTACTGTGCAGGAAAACTAGAAATTTTCAGGTATACGTCGTTTGATTTTGTATACAGGAAACATTGCTTTTATCAATTTTATCGATTGTTAGAAGACAAAAATTTCTTGCTCTTATGCTACAAGTGTTTATTACTTGTACTACAAGTGCTTTTGTGCAACTAGCTACAATTGCTTTTAATGACACCAAACAACATATGAATTCTTATTTTTATACTTTGAAGGACTTTTAACTACGGCAAAATTCAGTTTCAAACAGAGAACATAGTATGTTATAACTCTTACTTAGTTCTTAATTGTCTTGTGAAATATATGCCTTCCTCAAAACATCAATTGGAAGTTTTAAAATGTAAAACTGCTCGATCCAAACTTATAATCTCCGCTGTGTGAAAAAATCTCTTCCTCATTACAAGTTGTCTACACAGCAAATTTAGTCACGAAATGTTTCTAAAAAGAAAATGGTCTAGCGACTTTGAGATCTGATTTTTACCTTTTTCTGCATTTGCGTTGAATTGTTAAAGTTTTGAAATAATGTCATCATTAAACATAAACGTAAATGTCTTCTGCCAATATTGTTTTAAAATGTTCTTTTCATTAGTAGAACTGTGCGTTTTAATATGCGGTTTGCGTGACTCTCGGCAGGTGAAACAAGCCATTATTTACCACGTCAACACAAGTCAAAATTGCAATGAAAATGTCCATATTGAGATGATATAAGGAGCATATAAACGTTGAGTGAATGTCATGAACACGGGAGTATCGTTAAATGTCTTTCGATGTAGATCATGAAGGTTAGTTAAGTCTTGAGAAGTCAACATCAACACAAACAGTAGCTACTTCTCAGGATTCAATTAACCTAGACGTTCTGCTTATACAAGCTTATAAACTTTGACTTAACTAAAAAGTTTTTTCACAATTCAACAAATAGTTATAAACAGATGAAAATGCAAAAAAAATTGTTTAAGTTTTGCACTATCCTAGCTCAAGCTCCTTGCAAACAGTTGCTATTGATTAGAGGAAAGATGAATTGGTAATTTTGTCAATACAGTTGTGTTTAACTTTGTTTCAGATAACCCAAAGTGGAATAGTTATAAAACGCAGTTTTGAAAATAAGGTTGTAGCCTATCTTAAACTCTTTTCTATTAGACTGGTTATTTATGTATTGAACGTAGATGTATCCTGTCTGTATATTTCTTAGAAAGAGAATCAAATAATGTCTGAAAAAGCCTAATAGAAGTTTAGATTCAAAGAAATGGATAAAATAAAAGCTGTTGTTTCTTCCCATTGTTTTTTTAAACAACATATGCAAACAATTAGGACAAATGTCAAGCATCAGTAAAAACAGAGTAGCCAAATGATGTAAGTTTTTCTAAAATTGTGAAATGGTCTATTTTTCCAGTGTTATATTTAAATTAAACTTGTACTTGTTCATCCTATCGATCGATGCTAGAGCTCACATCTTTGAGTACATAATACTGGAAAATATTCATCTAAATTAAGAATTCTCGAACTACTTGTTAATACGTGTTCAATTTCTTATTTCAGGTAATGTAGGAGACCTCCCATTTTGAGAAAGTGTACTACTATATAGATCTAAGCTGTGTAATATTCGCGGTATAGTGTATGTCGATCTTTTAAGGTCTGCATGTCAAAGCTTCAAAAAAATCTTGAGAAATGGCACAAAATTTATGTAAAGTTACTCCTGAAAATTTAAGGAGCAGCGTCATGGAAATGTTAACAAATAAAGAAATTGTCGTCTTTTTCAATGAGCAACTTGTTTACAATTACCCGAACTCTTTTCCCAGGAGAGTTTTTGCCGAAAACAATAACCGTCGTTTCATTCTTGTGAAATTTCTTTGAGAAAATTAGAGAGAGCTTTATGCGTAGCGTCTAATTAAGATGTGAAAAAATGTCATCGAGGCCTTGTTCTAGCTCTAAGTATATTCTATATCAAAACATATCACTTTAAGTTTAAGGTTAAAGTAAAATGCAATTCACAATTTTACAATTCAAACTTCGTCTCGCAGTTTTCCTTTGTATTAATTATTTTTCATTAAATTAAATTTTTGTTAAAAACCAACAATTTTCCTTGGCAATATTATAATTCAAGAAACACCAGAAAATACTTTGTTTGCAAATTGAAGAATTGTAAAGGTAAATGTAAAAAAACCAAAACATGTTCATCGCGCACCGAAGACTTGTTGTTAAAATAAGCATTTCCTTTTGTTTATTTTGTCATGACAGATGCACTGGATACAAACTTTGGGTGTAGGGGGGAAGTAACGGACTATTTTGCCTGACATAAAGGGTATTGCTGTAGAATTGCCGGACGAATCACTCAAATTTTCAAAAGTATTTTTGTTTTTCATTGTGATAAGGGGCAACATTTTCCGGTTGCCCCTTATCACAATGACCCGATCAAGAGATGGCTTTCTTAGAGATGACTTAATCTTCGCCAAAATTAAACCAATCAACGTGTGACGTTTGTCTCAGCCATGTAATAAACTTTTATATTTTCGTTATTTGTTATATACACTATTCTAACAAAGGAAAACGCTTTTAACTTAATGTCAATTGCGTGTTGAAACGTTTTGAATGACAAACATTTCAAGAAAAATTAAATGTCTCTTATTGTATAATTTAAAGAATAGAGATTTATTAAAATGTTACTTGTAAAATTGGCCAAATTTCTTGGTTCGCCCCCAATATATTGTGTTCCTCAGAATTAAATGAAACATCGTATACGAATCTACGCAATATATGTAATGACGTAATGTTTGAGGAATAAAGTAGTTTACGAATGCAAGTTTTTACAAGTAGATAAAATGCTGGTCTTAGAAATCTTTTAAATTGACCAGAAAAGTCTGATAAAGTGCACGAGCAATTTTGACTCCATGAGAGAAGAAATTAAAAATAATTGTAAATTTTTTTCTTAAGACACAAGTCTCTGTATTTACCACATTATAGCATTTCTATGGTTTCACAGCAGGAAATTAAAATTAAAATTAAAATTAAAATTGAAATTAAACACCTACTATTCGCTGCCAATCAGGACTTGGGAAATAGCTACAATTAAATTTTTACATAAACGCACAAATAGCCCCTGTTAGCAAATAACACTATCATTTGAGCATCCGTAGGAACGAAAAACAGACTAAGGTAATGAAATTATTTTTATGACGTATTTATAAAAACGTTTATCCTTTTGATGACAGCTAAAGCTATACTGCATATACTATTTGTACACTTATCTAGCTACGTTTACATTTTTTATGTAACTAATTTTATCGCTACTACGTACAAGATTTATACTCTGCATAAGTTGAGGAAGTGTTTTATGGTAGTAGTAGATAGAAAAGCCTTGTCTACAGCATTTCAGAGAGCTCAAGTGAAGCTTTTCTTGTATCGTATTTTTTTTTGTCTTCTCAATAAAAATTTCCCTCCTGAAAAAAATTCTAGAAAATTAAACATTTTACTCTATTTTCAGACTTTTTATCTAAAACCATTGGTCGTTAAAAACATTTTCACTTGTAATAATTAAAGTACAATTTGGATAAAAATGAAAGAGAACGCATTGGCTTAGTAAGCTCAGCTCTTCCTGAGGTACAGGACTACAAAAATTTGCACAAACAAAGTTTGCCTTAAGAGTTCTTCTCAGTTCCAAAATATAAAACCAACCATTTGTTTTTCTATCAGCACTTTTTCAAATCATTATTTCAAAATGTTTTCTTGTCTATTTTATATTACGCAAGTTACATTTGCTTATATCTTATTGCTTACTAACAAAGTATTGCCAACTTCTGTGATACGACTTACGCTCAATTCGTGCCTTCGACAATTTTATTTTGAATTTATTTTTTTCTTTCCTCGGCAATGTTATGATGAAACTCACTTGTAAATTGCCGAAGTTGCCGACAGTGATTGTTAGTATTAAATTCAAGGAAGATTAGTGAATCAATAGTTTATTTTTTCAAGTAGTTAGAGTTACATATAGTATAAATGATGCCAAAGTTATTGTAAGATATAGCGTGTCAAAGAAATAGTCCTAGGCTCCTAGCAGAGCATTTTGTATCGTTGCAAAGAGCTTGTTATATGATATGTCCTTATTAAATTTTGAGAAACATCCAATGATAACGTCATAACGTCATTCCTCATGAAAACCCGCTGTATGGCGTCATGGATATTGCACACTGTGACGTGACTTTAATTTAATCAAACGGGTCTCCATGTTGGTTTCTGCTTTCTCGTAAGGTCGTTTTAATAGAGGAGAAAATTCTAAAGAGCGGCAAAGACATTTCGAAAAAAATCATGTGTAGTTTTTCCAATCAACTCTTTGAGCCACACATGCTGGCAAAATTGGCGCAAGTAATAACAGTTCTGTTCAGTTTTATTATATTTAACTGTGTATATATAAATGGCAATTTTCAAATAAGAAAATATTAAATGTCATCTAAATCAAATTGAGTTTGTTTTTTCTTAAAGGTCAATTTATATATAATATATCTTTATAGGAGATGATACGAGCCCTTAATTGTCATATGACTTGAACAAATGACATTTTCTATTCATGTATATCGTATAACAATATAGGATAAACAATAAGGATAACAATTTTTAAGATTGTCAAGACTTACCAAAAATTGCTAATAAATCATTTCAACTATTTGCAGACACGGAAACAGCTATAAAGTTTAGTCATTCAATCAATACATGGAAAACATTGAAACGCACGTAAATGGTCTTGTCGACAATGTGGGCAATCTCAAGAAAGAAGTTTGTAATGTCAAATTTAAAACCGATTTGAATAACTTGAATTTACCTGAAATACCGAAAATGAATGGATTGTTAGACGAGCAATCGTCAAAGATTGAAGAATTGCTTAAAGAAATCGTTCAAGGAGAGAAAAAATTCAATGGAAGAATTGACGAATTGACTGCAAGCAATAACCAATTGAGGGCAGAGAATAACAGAATTACGAAAAGGTTAGAAGAAATGCAAAGGCAAATTGACGACTTGAGTGCAGACAATGAAAAATTAAATGCAAGAATTAACCAAGCGTTGGCAGGCAATGAAAAACTCAAGGCTAGAAAATAACGCATTTAAATAAATGTTTGAAAATATGCAAAGGCAATTAACGAAATGAGCCAGAACAATTCAACTTGATTCAATAATACTTTGGGCTTTCATGCTCGAACAATCTATTCACACTTTTTAAAGCAGATTTTAGACACCAAACTTATGTTACTTGACGTCTGAAAAGCACTTGATATCTATCTATAGCATCATTTACGATATAATGTTTTTAAAAATATGGCTAGTTACGCCGGTAATTGTAATTTTACTCGTAGATATAAACATTGCTTAGCTTAATAACTTCATTTACACTTGTAATAATTTGTATAAAAATAAATAAAGGAATAGCTATACACAGTAGGTCTTTTGTTCTTTATCGAGTTCTATAAAGAATTATTCATGGTGTAACTTTATTAACTATTTAAAGTAGGTTAAAACTTAAAACTACAAAACAAGTTACTCAGTTGTTTTTAAATGGCTGTAAAATCCCCCGTTACACTGGTTACAATGCCGTGTTTTCCATTCTCTCAGAAAATTGCTTAATAAAATGTAAATATATTGATAGGTGTACGAACAATTTCGATTTGTGTAATATGAGATTGTGAAACAAGCATTTCTTGTAATTATTTTCTCAAACTACATGCAAGCAAATTGGTGCAAGTCTCAAACATGCTGTTAAAAATTATTAAAAACTAATAACGATACCTTAACTGTTTTGAAAACGTCAGTTAAAATTAAATGATTTTTGTGGTATTTTGAAGCACATACAATAAAGAAAGCGTATTTACATATTACGACTTACAGATTTATTTTTATCGAAAATGTATTTCAATTGAATAAAGTAACATACAAATAATTCATTTTTGATTTATTGCACAATAAATTAATAACTAAAGAGCTCAGGTTTTAGCGTAGAAGCCATGAAGGGCTGGGGCCCAGGCAACCCCAGAGCCCTCTATTAGCAAGAGTTGGGACAAATGGTCTGGGGCGAGCGCGGAGCCGCCATTTTGGTTCCTACTTGCAAAGTTAAACTATAATAATACTATTGGAAATTGGGTTTATATGCAAAAGAAGAAGGCAATTTAAGCTTATTCCATGGTAGTATCAAATATATTAGGAATAATAGCAAGCTCTTTGCGTTTTTTTAACGATTTGCGGCAGACCTGATTTAATTTCATTGGTTTGAGCTTCGTTTGCGGTTTACTAGTTCGTGCTTCAAATTGATCGTGACCCATTGTAAGAAGTATTTTTCGTACGTGAACGTGTTTTCTCGGCTTATGTTCCGACTCTGTAAGAAGTTTTCAAGATCTTTAAGCTTGGTGACAAGCGGCAATGTTATCCTGGCATCAGTGTTATCAAATACTTGGACAAGACTTTGTTCGAAACTTCGAATCATAGTAATCATGCAGTTTTCTGTTCAAGATTTGAATGATGCTACTTGCTACTTTGGAGTTGGCATTATTTCATTTGCGATTAACTAATTCTCGCATTGCAACAGATCGTGAGCCATTGCCAGAAGAAGATTTCATGTTTTCAGTTTTTTTCTTTCGAAGAAGAGCGTAAATCCTGACACGAAAATAGGTTTTTAAAATCTTTGACTTAGCTTGGTGGCAATCGGGAATATTACTGTCAGCCATGGCAAGGCATTTGTCAACAAGAGCACTCAGGATACTATTCACTTTCATTACTTGTGCCTCACTAGCCACGAATATGCTCTCTGCACGAAGGAGTAATTTCTTTACCTCTTGCGAAATATATGTAAGAGATGATCAGGTGTTGTCGCGAAGCTGGACAAGACTTTGCATTGATACGATATAGTCATGCAATTCTGGTTTAGGAGGATCTGCAAGTAAGGTTTTCAAACATTCGTGGCAGTGACCATTTAGTTTGATGAACTGGTGGACTGCATACCCTCCAAGATGGTCCAAGCTTGACAATTCTGATGTAGAGAGATCAAGAATAAAATCGCTCGGTTCTACAGAAAACGATTGACTTTCTTCATGTTTTGATGTAGGAAAAGATTTCTCCAAGAAACAGTGTGTCTCTGATACTTCATCTGTCTCATATGAGGAAGTAGATTTTCCAGAGATGCACTGTGACACTGTGATGTTTCTTAGTGCATTTTTGAATTCCAATGCACTTGGTATTGGATTCTTGAATCTGATTGTAGAAAAAAGATTTTCTAAAGCATCTTGTGTGAAGCGGCTGGTCAGAAGGAACTTGTATTGTTTTTCCAAAATGAAGCAGTTCTGAAGTTCAAGAATGGTTTTGGTTGCTAGAATTGTTCCTGTTTGCGCAGGCCTCCACTTGGCATTTGATTCTGATCCTATTTTCAATTGGGTAAAAAGTTTAATAATCGATTCAAGGAAAGATACAACTTCTGTATGTTTTTCATGTGTGTAGAGACTGAAACCCATTTTTGGAGAACGTGATGTCATCAGGTCGTACCACAGACCAACTTGATCACAAAACCATGCTGTAGTTGTGGCATTCTTGGGCAGGACTTTTTCCTGAATAAGAAAGCGAATGGCTGCCCCAGTTTTTCTAGATAGTAGATTCTTAGCCATGCTCACTTTCATTTTTTCAAAATGCCCAGGATCACAGCATTTTTCATTCAGGTGTGGTGCAATCTTTAGATTATGCAAAGAATCATAATTAACCAGCTTTTTGATGTGGTTTATTGTGACTGCATTTGTAGGTAAATTGCACTCAGCAATGGCATACTGTGGGATGAAAAATGTTTGTCCACGAGTCAGATGATTCCTGATATTCTTCAAAACATGTGGAACATCAGGCATAAATGTAAGTCTCTGACCCTCAATAACAGGATGCTGAATGGTATTGACTATTTCCACAGTATCATTACACTGTCCCAATTCATCATTTTCTCTTTTTACTTTACAATAGATCCCAAATTCCCGAAGAACAGCCTGGTTGCCCCCTCCCATATCCATAGTGACATTATAAACTGTTAAATTGCATTCACTTGCCCTTTGAATTATCTCAATGATAATATCTTTCACTTCTTTAGCTGAGAATGAATTTCCAGTGAAGAAGTACGCAACAACTTGTTTCCATCTTGCTGTCAAACCACATAACATGAAAACCATGGCATGTGTTGCCATTGTGTCTTGCATGTCTTTTTCATTGCTGCCAGAGAGAGATCAATGGCCGATGACTGACTCAGTTCTTGTGTCAAAATCATATGATGGAATGATTGCCATTTCGTCAAGCAAAAGAACAGTCTCTTTCTTGATCTCCCATGGAGGAAGCCTTTCAATGCAAATTAACCTTCAGTATACAATATGTAGGTATTCTTATGTAGCTACTTTAGAAAGTCAAAACACAACAGTAATGCTTTTGTGTTTTCTATTAGTTTGTATGTTTACCTTCAATTGCAATGCTGCAAAAACCTCATATGTAAGACCGAGGAAAATTCAATGTGCTCCATTCGTCGATTAAGTGTTCTTATAGAAGGTAATGGATAATTCATCCCAAGTAAAGTGCTGTATCCAGTTGCTCCACATGAATATCTTATTTTTATAGCACTTTCAATTGTGTTATTTGACCACCTAACTAAAAATAAAAAAATCAAATGTAAATTTTAAACTTATATTTAATATATTTGTTTTTAGTGTGGAAGTGCAAAATTTCATTAATATACTTCATCAATTTAAAAATGGTATTGCTTAACCTTTTCCATAACCAGGCTTCTTGGAAAGGTAGGCTATTTGGTCTTCATTAAATAAAGCAGATATGTTGTTTGCTAGGTTTTTATGATTTTCTTTTGCTTTTATCAGCTCTTTCTTCAACATTTCCGATTCCTCTCGCAGCTTTGTGTGACTTTGACTATTTGTGCTACTTTGAGGATTGTTCAAGTCCAACTCAGTCACAGTCATTGTAGAGTGTACAGAGTCGAGATTATTATCATCTTCGCTACTAGCACTCTCAATGGCAACAGGTTGTGGTGACACTATGTGAACAAGAAGGTAAACATGTGTATATTTCCTATTGGTTAATAATTTATAATGTACTGAAGATGCCAAAACGTTAGAGTACTGACCAGTGTTCACTTTTAATTCTCGTTTAGTTGGACTCTTTCTTCGCAGCACAGGCTTTCGATGTGTGAACAGAGTTGGTACTGCATTTGGTCGAAGTTTGCCGGGGATTTTAGGCTCGAATTGATTCGCTTCGAAGTGAACCTTAAGGAGCCGTACCACAATATCACAACACACAAATGCAAATTTGTTGTCAATATTTATTAAAAATTTTAAAATTTACATTGTCGTTGTCATGTTAATTATCTAAAGAACAACAAGAGTATAATTGCCTCGCAAAGTCTCGCCGACGCCGTGTTAAAGTTCTCTCTTTTTATTGCACAAAGCCATTTCTTTCGTTTTTCGTTGTTTCTCGACCCTGAGGGTATGCGGTACATTTTGTATCCGTCAGATGAACGATTATTGCACCCACACGCGCAACAAAACACCATATTTATCTTAATAACTGTGAACACTAATAATAATCGCTATGTAAACACTAGTACAAGTTTCAAAAGTAGGAACCAAAATGGCGGGTTTTGATCAGATGACCGAAACTGACCAATCAGCGTGTACAAATAAGAGAACAATACATGTCCCAACTCTTGTACTATAGAGGGCTCTGGGCAACCCACTTAAAGCAGTAAAAAGGGGCCACCCACTAGTCAAATTGCGTAACAAATCAGAGCAGACGCATTCATCGTCTAAAAGAAATTGGAAGTGAAATTAGACACATTTTAATTCATGGTAATGCCAGCCTTGAATTTTTCAGAAAATCAAGCCAGCTTCTTGACTTATCTTAAGAATTAGCTTAGAAATGTCCGTTGACTTAACAAAGAAAAGCGTTGATAATGTAAGTTTTAAAAAGATTACTAAAAAATCTATAGCAACAACAGCTGCTCCGATCTATTGTCGACTAACAATCAATAGCAAACAAATAGTTGATGTTCAAACAATTGAAAACTTTGTGACTTGATATTTCCTGAAGATCCAAACTTCTGCTAAAAAAAAACAAAGGATAAAAGAGCGTTCATGAACAATTTATCGTTGATCTGACAATTGAAAACAATTATGAGCTTTTAGCTACTCGTTTGTATAAATGTCACGTTTATAAGGCCTGAGTATGTAATAATCGTATAAGTGGTGACGATAACTTAACGAAGAAATCAAAAATTTATGAAAGAAAGATGTTGGGATGGGCCAATGCAATTTGAAAAACCAAGTTTTGTCAAGATTTTAAAATTCCCAGGACTCATTGAAAGTTTTTGCTGCATTCAATCAAAGATACAATCAAAGAAATTGATTTTCTTAAATTTTAAAACTTTCCGTTTTGCGAGAAATTCGATGGAGCCGATTCATTAATTGTGAAGAATTAAATAAAAGAATTGTCCTTCATTTATATCCTTCATGATTGAGCTTATTCTCAATAAGCTTTTCACTTAAATTTTCTCTAAGAGCCATATAACATTTATTTAAATAAATATAGTCAGCACCTTGATGTAGTACGTCGGGGAATCTCATATAATACAGGGTGAATAAAAAAGAGATCTTTAGAAATTAAACCTATATGTTTATTATTTCATATTTATATGCTGTCCTACTCGTACATATACACAAGTTTTTTAGCCCATGAAAATTTTACATGACTGGAACTTTTTGAAATATGCCTTGTAGGAAATTGATTGAATTTGCATGTTTACGGACCAGCAGGACCTGCATTTGTGATTTGGCTTTAAAATTTTGGTAATAATATGATTTCTAAAAGTATTTTTATACACCCTGGAATTTTCATTGCAAATATACAATCGTCGAATGAATTAATTTTACGTTTTTTTAATTCACTGCATGTTGATCTTGAAATCGATTGTTCAGCGAGCAACTGCATTGGGATTACGTGGAAAGCAACCATTCCCAAAGGAGTCGAAGGAGAAAGAGATTTTCGCCATATTAGAAGCCAAACAGTTTGTTTCCTACAGTAAGCCATGTATTCGGTTTGCGTGTTTGTGTGCCTGTGTATGACTGGCCCTAGTGGAATTCCTTTTGTTGTATTACAATATATGTGAATTCAACGAGTCCAATTATCGGGCATCGCTTAGTTTATAAATTCAAATGAGAAATGATAAACATGTATAAAAATGCTGGTAAATTACATAAATGTGTTATTAGCTCACTTTTTTCCTAGAGGGTTGACGGGGAAACGTGCTTCAAAAATATAAGTAAAGGATAAAGTGGTTAAAGAGGTAATCGAAGTGTAAACGAACGGGATATACTTTGCGAAATCGGTCTGATTGCGATTTCAAGAAAGGAGAACAATCTTTTCCATCCTTGTTGTAAAAGAATTCGTTACAGAACTTCTGTATTTGCTGTTTATTGTATGAATATATAGTATTTACGAAGTTCTAATCAGGTTGGAAAATTTTGATAGCCTTGTCGACTAACGGAAAGTATTACTTGATTATAGTTTCATCTATGTGCTTCGAAAATTCTAGTTTTTATGAATAAATTGTGTGTCATATCTTTAAACCGTTGTAAAATTTAAGTAAATTTGCTTCTTTCTGCGAACTGTTTAAAAATGATAGTACGAAATGGTAAATTATACAAGATGAAAAAATCATGTTATACACTTAGTAATGCAGTTTTTATTGTTCTGTCAAGTTTAATTCGGAACTTGCATGTTTGTTTCAGGAAAATCATCGAGAAGACGAACCTTTATGACCAATAAAATGTTTGTAGTTTGGATTCGTTGTAAACGCAGTTGTTCATGCATGTAACAGCGAAGGGCCTCGCTGTTATGTGTGTTGTCAGCTACATTTAATCCGAATCAATTCTACTGTAAACATTTTATTGATGTGGCTCCTCACGTTGGATGGAAGATATTAGTGATGCTTTCTGTTTTGTGTTTACCTTATACTTCAAAGTTCAAAACATAAAATCTACTTCTATATCGAAGTCGAACATCTTTTTAGGATTGGTAATATTGACAGCAATATTTAGTCGGAGGTATAGTGACATGGCAATACTTATGTGAATGTAATGAATACTGGACAAAGTGTACCAAAACCTTAGTGTGGGTTTGTTGATAAACAGCAATGCTATTTAGCATGCAATGATGCACCGTGGTGATGTAAAGAAGATGATAAACTATGCAATGTTGAACGTGTGAAAGTTACAAAATGTAGGTTTTGGATTGCACTTGGATATGACGCAATATTTGGTTTGTCTCGTGTTCGTAAAATGAAAGTCATTCAGAAAGGAGATACGGGAAATATGATGTACACATTGGTGTTACCAAGATTGAGCGTACGCTAACACCACGGCTAACAATGACAAAATATTCTTTGGTATAAGACGAAAAACATGGCTAAAATGCATTTAAAAAATTGAACAACTAAATTCACTAATTATGTTTCAACAACAAGTAAGAGAATATTTGGTGCATAGTTGACGCACAGAAAAGTCGAAAGTTTTCTACAGAAATTAATGATGCTGTCAAATTTATATATGTTTATGTATTGTGAAGTGAGATCATGGTACCTTTGCATATTCTCATTTTACTTGAAAGCATCTTAAATTTTATTCATGTTGATTTATATGTTATTTTTGTCATGATGATGTTATTGTTGACATTGACAGAACAACTTAAGAAAATACGACAGCTCATCTATAATGCACGATGAAAATTTAGATAAGCATGCTGCTCACCTATATTGCATGATGAGCGTTCATCATCCACTATATATATGAGCAGTGCTCTTTTAGTATTTGATAATAAATACAGACGTTCTTCCCCATTATCAATTGTAGGACTAATACCATATTGAAATGCCATTACTGCATGTGCATGCACTGGCGTTTACTACTTAAGGAAAACGTAATATTTTTTCTTGTATTAATGAAAGTTTCCCTTCTTATTTCGAATAGCGGCATGCAGTGCAATACTATTTGCTTCTACTAATGAATTTATTGAATCGAAAACACTTTCATTGCTAAGATACTATTGAAAACTTTGCAGCTAGCTAACATGGATGTGTAAATGATCAGAAAATTTTTGAATATATGTCATCTAAAAGTGCTTGTCGGAGTTGTTTATTGCAAGACCTTTGAAGAAAGAACTATACATGCAAAATTTAGTGATGAAATTTGATTAAATTTGTTAGCACAGAATTTTTTTGGACTTACTGTGTAGGAAAACTAGAAATTTCCATGTATACGTCGTTTCATTTTGTATACAGCAAACATTGCTTTTATCAATTTTATCGAATATTAGAAGACAAAAATTTCTTGCTGTTATGCTACAAGTGTTCATTACTTGTACTACAACTTCTTTTGTGCAACTAGCTACAATTGCTTACAATGACACCAAACAACATATGAATTCTTTTTATTATACTTTGAAAGACTTTTAACTGTGGTAAAATTCAGTTTCAAACAGAGAACATAGTATGTTATAACTCTTATTTAGCTTCTTAATTCTCTTGTAAAATATATGCTTTTCTCAAAACATCAATTGGAAGTTTTAAAATGTAAAACTGTTTGATCCAAATTTATAACCTCCGCTGTGTGAGATGTATCTTACAAAATCTCTTCAGGAAATGGAATTATAACGGATAAGTGTACGAAAAATTTCGATTTAAAAACATGTGAAACAATCATTTTTGTATTTATTCTATCAAACTACCCGGAGGGAAATTTAATGCAAGTATTAAGCATGCTATTCAAAACAAGACGTCTGCTTAGGCGTACACTCGTTCTCTAGTGATCAAATAATTTCCGTTTAGACGATCAAAACATGAAAAAGTGTCGAGAAATGAGCTGACGGCGTGTGATTTTTGCGGTTTCTTAATTCGAGCAACATTCCAAAGTGTTTGGATCGGACCACTGCGGCCATTTAATTGATCAAACATTTGAGAAACATTAAGTAGTTTGATTAAATATCATCAAGAAAGTAGTGTTACATACGTCTAAAATTTGTCTACTTTCCCCTGAAATAGTGCATATTTTCTTGGCGATCGATGTTTGTTTTTACTTTTGGGAAAGAGAGTTCCGTCAAAAAAATTTATTTCCTGTCGTTTTTAGACAATTTTATCTGCATTTTACCATGTTTAGCTTATACCTAGCGAGATATCTATGTGGAAAAACGTATTTCGACAAGAATCGAGACTACTACAAGACATAAAATGCTAAAAAATAGATAAAAAAATTTTATTTGAATGTTTTCAGTATTATGAACTTCTTTTTCATAAATACATCTTTTACGTGCATCATTGTTGTCTTTTTCGTTTAAAAAATGTTCATTGGGTCTTTTTAATGGCATATTACAGGGTTTATATAAAAGTAATATGATACATAAATTAGAACAATAAAAAGGAAATAAGATCATCTGTATCACCTATTATTTCATTCATACTGAAGATGGCATCATGAGATGTCGAAACATGTCTATTTTCAAAAAAGTTGTCGTTTATATTAAATGTGAATATTTGATTGTCCATTACTAAAAATGCCTCACAATGTCAGATGCAAAATCGTCTTTTTTAAAAAAAAACAATACTAAAAGAGGATTATGATATAAATCAGTCACGTTCTACGATAGATTTGACCTGTTTCAATTTCATGACAACAGCATAACGAAACCGACAACTCATCTTGAAATTTTAAATTCAATATGGGTTGACATTAAAAAGTAAGTGTTTTTTAAAAATTTAAGACAAATCTTTGAACTACAAAAATTAATCTTTGTGGTCAAAGCTTCATGTTATGCAAATATAACCGAGCCAAATGAGGTTAGTTATAGCTGGTGGAATTGTTTTCATTCCAGCCACGTGACAAATAACACGTGGTATTGTATTTATTCTGAAAATATTGTGACATCAGTTTATGATGTCATAAAAATTTTTTATAATTTTGTGAAAGCCCTATTGCTAATGCGTATGTAATATACACGACTAGTTTTTTAAAATAGACATGTTTCGACATGTCATATTGCCATCTTCAGTATAAGTGAAATAATAAATAACACAAGATTTATATAAAAAGGTTTGTATAAGGTTTTTATAAGGTTTGTATCATATTACTTTTATATAAACGTTGTGTTATTTATTATTTCACTTATACTGAAGATGACATGTCGAGACATGTCTATCATAATAAATTAAAAATTAAAGATAATAACGATCAGGCGTCAGCATATAAGGAACCTATCTCTTAGTACCACTGATAGATTAAAGAAGAACAAGTTGGACGGCAACAAAACAAGGTTAGATATTTTCCTTTTATCATAATAATGATCAGATGAGTAAGTCAACTTTGTCATTGCCCCGTCTTTTGCTGCGTTTCAGTGACAATGTGTTGTGAATGTAAAATTGTTGTGAATTTTTTAAGAGTTCTTCAATCTCAAATATGTCGCAAAATACTTTAGCTGTTTTAAAAAAAGTAAGACCAGATGATAGATTAGAAATTTCACATTTAACTGGTGCTAAGTTTATTGCTTGGAGTTTTGTTAGCGAACGCGAGGATAATTTGTGCTATCGGGTTTTGTATTATGTCAAATGTTAACAACCATCATAATTTATTATTTCACTTATACTCAAGATGGCATCATGAGATGTCGAAACATGTCTATAGTGCTTCTATGGAAACATTATTTACGACATAGCACAAAAATACGAAGGAAAGGTCTCCCTATCAGAAATGCGGAAGTTTGAAAAGCTTCAAACCAAACAAAGGAAAGCAGAACTAGATGCTATGTTTCTTAAAGATTGTCTTTCACTCGGCGTTTATCCAAAGTTTCTCTGCTTTCCACTACCAAATGTCAACAACCAAGATAATTTATTATTTCACTTATACTAAAGATGACATCATGAGATGTCGAAACATATCCATTTTAAAAAACTAGTCGTACATATTAAATGCGTATTAGCAATAGTGCTTCTACGAAATTATATAAACAATAAGGATAACACTTTTTAAGATTGTTAAGATTTATCATGAATTGCTAATAAATATTTTCAACTATTTACAGACACGGAAACAGCTATAAAGTTTAGTCATTCAATCGATACATGGAAAACATTGAAACGCACGTACATGGTCTTGTCGACAATGTGGGCAATCTCAGGAAAGAAGTTTCTAATGTCAAATTTAAAACCGAATTGAATAACTTGGTTTTACCTGAAATACCGAAAATGAATGGATTGTTAGACGAGCAATCGTCAAAGATTGCAGAATTGCTTAAAGAAATCGTTCAAGGAGAGAACAATTTGAGAACCGAGAATAACCACCTCAGTGCAAGAATTGACGTTTTGACTGCAAGCAATGACCATTTGAGGGCAGAGAATAACGAATTTAGGCAAATGTTAGCAGGTATGCAAAGGCAAATTAACGAATTGAGGGCAGTCAATGAACAACTCAGGGCAAGAATTGACCAAGTGATTGCAAGCAATGACCATTTGAAGGCAGACAATGACAAACTCAGGGCGAGAAAATAACGCATTTAAATAAATGTTTGCAGATATGCAAAGGCAATTAACGAAATGAGCCAGAACAATTCAACTTGATTCAATAATATTTTGGGCTTTCATGCACGAACATTATATTCACACTTTTTAAAGCAGATTTTAGACAGCAAACCTATGTTACTTAACGTCTGAAAAGCACTTGATATCAGTCTACAGCATCATTTACGATGTAATGTTTTTAAAAACATGGCTAGTCACGCTGGTAATTGTAATTTTACTCGTAGATATAAACATTGCTTCGTTTAATAACTTCATTTACACTTGTAATAATTTGTATACAAATAAATTAAGGAATAGCTATACACAGTAGGTCATGTGTTCTTTATCGAGTTCTATAAAGAATTATTCATGGTGCAACTTTATTAACTATTTAAAGTAGGTTAAAACTTAAAACTACAAAACAAGTTACTCAGTTGCTTTTTAAATGGCTGCAAAATCCCCCGTTACACTGGTTACAATGTCGTGATTTCCATTCTCTCAGAAAATCACTTAACAAAATGTAAATAAAATTGATAGGTTTACGAACAATTTCGATTTGTTTAATATAGGATTGTGAAATATGCTTTTTCTGTAGTTATTTTCTCAATTTACATGCAAGCAAATTAGGTCCAAGTCTCAAACATGCTGTTAAAATTTATTAAGAACTAATAACGATACCTTAACTATTTTGAAAACGTCAGTTAAAATAGAGTGAGTTTTGTGGTATTTTGAAGCACAAACAATAAAGAAAGCATATTTTCATTTACGACTTACAGATTTATTTTTATCGAAAATGTATTTCAATTGAATAAAGTAACATACAAATATTTCATTTTTGATTTATTCCAAAATAAATTATTAACTAAAGAGCTTAGGCCTTAAGGTAGAAGCCATACAGAGCCGGATTAAGAGCTGTGCCCCGAGCCGGATTAAGGGTTGGGCTCCGGGCCACCCACCAAAAAGCGGTAAAAAGGGGACACCCGCCAGTAAAATTGCGTAACGAATCAGAGCAGACGCATTCATTGTCTGAAAGGAATTGGAAGGGAAAGTAGACACGTTTTAATTTACGGTAATGCCAGCCTTGAACTTTTCAGAAAATCAATCCAGCCTCTTGACTTATCTTAAGAATAGAAAAGAAAAGATTAGAAAAGATTTGATGGTGTAAATTTAAAAAGATTACTAAAAAATTTAGAGCAACAACAGCTGCTCCGATCTATTGTGGACTAACAATCCATAGCGAACAAATAGTTGATGTTTGTTAGATTTTAACCTTTATTCTTGGATTAGTATTGATTTTACAATAATCTTTTTCTACTAAGGACCTGTTCATATGAGACGGGCCAGCCCGCTTAAGCCGGGCTAGGTAGCTTTGCCGATATATTGCCTCATATATTATTTTACAATGTTTTTGAAATTGTTTTCCTATGAAGAGCGGGTCAGCCCGGCTTGGCGAGATTGCTTGAAGGAAGCGATATTTTGCCATATGAATGCGAATACAAATTGGCCAGGCAAACTAGCTAGCCTGGCTTTAGCGGGCTGGCTCGTCTCATATGACTGGCCCTAAGAACAACAAAAATATATATACACACCAGATGTACGTAAAATCGTTCGATTGTCACGTGTCCACTGATCTATATCTAATGAACTAAATTAACATTAACTTTAACAAATGAAATACTTTATGTTATATTGTATCATGTTAACAATGATCAAACTGTTGAAAACTTTGGCGTTGTCACTAAAACCTAGTCAAGTCTTGATTTAGTTTTAATAAGTGTAACTTATGATACAAGCGACAAAAACGGAGTTCATGCTAACAATAATACTAGCTCTAATCAACGAACAGTTCCAGGGACTATGGCCATGTGACCACCGGAAAGGTGTGGAAAATTTATCCATATCGTTTCTTTTACTTTTACTTTTACTTTTGGAATTTGGGAAGTTTCCTGTCAGTTGTTGATAAATCTATCACTTTCCTTGATTAATGCCTGTTAGCCTACCAGGTTATTTCAGCACGTTTTAACATTTTCGATCACCTATCAGAGATGTCCCCAGAAGAATTCAAAGGAATAACGCTGAAAACTCGTTCTTGCCCATCCTGAATCCGTGATGATTTTGATAACTTCCTTGAAGGCGAGTTATGTCACTATGTTGCATATGCCAAATTCTTCGAACATGTCAAACCAGACGACATTGGCTGCAAGTTCTTCTTGATCAGGCTAATCATGTCCTAATGCTAGCAGACTTCCTTTTCCGACTTTGACATTGCCTTGAAAATTTATCTTGTAGTTGATGGTCACCAGGCACGTCAATAGTTCAATTCCAGGCCAATTTAACGATAAGGACCATAGAATCTGACGTCATGTGTGACTTGGATCTATCTGTTATCATTAAGGAGTTTGCAGTACAAAAATCAAGAAAGGGTAATGTGTAATGTTTGCACACTGTCAGAAGATGAACTTTAGATATGATGGCGGTAAAGATGATTGTATTGTATTGTTATAAAAAGGCCCAAATGTGTTTGCCCTTCTTTTTTGGACACGTGGGCTGATTTCAGACTCAAAGAGGTGTTTATTATTGTAGTATTTTTTGATAGCTATTATTTTTGCTTTTCTCTGAAAACTAGGAATATCACATGCACTCGAGTATTTTGGCTGAGTTTTTCTACCAAATTCTGAATTTTGGGAAATACGTCTAGGAGAGTTCTTTCTTATAATAATCAACTATTAACGTGGCAATTTTTTAAGCAACATGAGGTTTAAACCAAAAAAAGGCCCCCCACCATAAAGTGGGCCCCATGCCTTCAATGAGGTTAATAAAGCTCTGATGAGCATGCACTGTATCAACAACGTACAGGGGTTGCATGATTTTAAGACGTATAATAGAAAAGCAGAATCATCACATACAATTTTTGACGCAGTTCCGCTCGGTGACGCAACGGAAGAATTATTTACTCGTAGATATCATCAAATTAAAGGAAATCAATCTCAAGAGCCGGATCGATTTTATCATAATACTCAAGATACTTCATATGCTAAATCAATGATTAAAATCATTCAATTAGGATAAGTGTTATTTCTCTGATATTTGTGGTTTCTTTTATTTCACGGTTTCATATGTTTTTTATTTGCTAAGCATATACGAAATTATATTCCAAATCTGATATGTTTCTGCCCCATGCAAAGCTTCTTTCACGATACTTGATACGGTGTATCCTGATAGAAGCTGAAACGTTAGTCTAGATGATTTTTATAAGTTCAGATTTTTTTAAAAGGACTAAAATTTGTGGGCAAAATCAGAACGAATAAAAGATTTAATTAGAGAAAACAATACTATAGTTGAAACACGAATGAGTTCAAAAAATGAAACTATTTTTAAAGCATTCAAAATAAATCATTTCATTGTACTTTTTCTTAGGTAAAAAAAAACAAAGGATAAAAGAGCATGCATGAACTATTTATCGTCCTGTTTGTGTGCCTGTTTATGTCTAGCCCTAGTGGAATTCCTTTTGTTCTATTGGAATATATGCGAATTCCACGAGTCCAATTATCGGGCATCGCCTTTTCATCAATTCAAATGAGGAATGATAAACATGTATAAAAATGCTGGTAAATTACATATATGTGTTGTTAGCTCACTTTTATCTTAGAAGATGACGGGGAAACGTGCTTCAAAAATGTAAGTATAGGATAAAGTGGTTAAAGAGGTAATCGCAGTGTAAACGAACGGTATATACTTTGCAAAATCGGTCTGTTTGCAATTTCAAGAAAGGGGAACAATCTTTTCCATCCTTGTTGTAAAAGAATTCGTTACAGAACTTCTGTGTTTGATGTTTATTGTATGAATATATACTATTTACGAAGTTCTAATCAGGTTGGAAAATTTTGATAGCGTTGTCGACTAACAGAAAGTATTACTTGATTATAGTTTCATCCATATGCTTCGAAGATGCTAGTTTTTATAAATAAAGTGTGTTTCATTTCTGTAAACCATTGTAAAATTTAAGTAAATTTGCTCCTCTCTGCAAGCTGTTTGAAAATGATCGTACGGAATGGTAAATTATACAAGATGAAAAAATCATGTTATACACCTAGCAATGCAGTTTTATTCTTATGTCAAGTTTAATTCGGAACTTGGATGTTTGTTTTAGGAAAATTTTGGTTGAATTAAGTTCATCATCGAGAAGACGAATCTTTATGACCAATAAAATGTTTGTCTGTAGTTTGGATTCGTGACAAATGCAGTTGTTCATGTATGTAACAGCAAAGGGCCCCGCTGTTACGTGTGGGGTCAGCTACATTTAATCCGAATCAATTCTACTGTAAACATTTTATTGATGTGGCTCCTCACGTTGGATGGAAGATATTAGGGATGCTTTCTGTTTTGTGTTTATCTTATACTTCAAAGTTCAAAACATGAAATCTACTTCTATATCGAAGTCGAAAATCTTTTAGGATTGGTAGTATTGACAGCAGTATTTAGTCGGATGTATAGTGACATGGCAATACTTATGTGAATGTAATGAATACGGGACAAAGTGTACCATAGCCTTGGTGTGGGTTCGTTGATAAACAGCAATGCTAGTTGGAATGCAATGATGCACCGTGGTGATGTAAAGAAGATGATAAACTCTGCAATGTTGAACGTCTGAAAGTTACAAAATGCAGATTTTGGATTGCACTTGGATGTGACGCCATATTTGGTTTGTCTCGTGTTAGGAAAATGAAAGTCATTCAGAGAGGAGATACGGGAAATATGATGTACACATTGGTGTTACCAAGATTGTAGTAGTCAAGTCTACGATACGTGAAAAGTGTTATCCGAGAAGAAAACAAGAGTAGATGAGTTGTCAACTATTCAGGTTTATCGTTGATTATTTTATAATAGAGAATGCTTGACATACACAACACAAGGCAATTGCATGCGTAATACTGTTTTGAATGTGAAAAGACGTTTTTTTCTTTCTTTGAGTATCGTATCGTTTCCTAAATACAGAACCATTTCCCTTACGTCGAAGTTCCTTTGCATTTTAAATTGTTAGATTCCCTAGCGTTTTAACGATAAGTGCATGTTGTAAAGGATTTTCGACGTAAATTTTGACTGAGTTATCATCGAAAAATGATTACAATAAAAAGGTTTATCCACTTCTTTAAAATGGGGAGTTAGGGATTAGATTCACCACATCAAGAGTAGGGATTCAAACAATTTTAATTCTACACGAAAGCAACATAAACTCGTAAGTTTTTAGAAAAATCAGGTCTTTTTCATAAAATAACTTCAAAATGCTGCATGGAGTTGGCAAGTATGACGTGATGAATTTATCAAAAGCTGTCGTTCAGCTGGAAAGTGACTCTTCTGGTAACTTGACCATAGGTATTACACACGCATCTACGCAGAAACATACTTGAAAGAACATTGAAAGAACTTGAACACTTCGCTTCAAGAAGACTAAAGAGAACTGCAAAAAGCCAACAAAGAGAAAACATTTTGACTTTATCAAAAATTTTGCTTTGATGGATTGGAGCCTTATTCACTTCACAGTTTTATCGTGTGCATAGAGAGATATTGTTACAAGATTTAACATTTTGCAGCTATAACGTTGACCACAGTGATTCAAACAGCATATAATTAGTATGCATTTTTTAATTAGGTGTACAAAAATTCGCATTTTAAAGCTTTGATAATGAGCACAGTGAAGCACATAGCGCATGCTTAGGTTGCATTTTTCAAGTAAGTTAAAATCTGACTTGACTGCCCCATTTTAAAGATTGCCTAAAAAAAGCAAACCAGCACCTTGAATGATAAGTGGAAATGTGGAATGATCAATTAAGCTCCAAGAAGAGAACTAACTTGTCCTTAATAGTTTGCTTTTTAAAAAATTTCTTTTCTTTTGAAATGTCAATCTATTAAATGGATTCGTCAAAACCAGTGCATGATGCTGCCAAAGTATAAGACTATCTGGATTAGCCGTCAGAAACTTAAAAAATGCAAAATTGTTTTATAATTTTCGTTTTGTTTAAACATCTGAAAAGCCGAAGTTACTCTTTGTTGCTCGGAAGTTTTTTACCAGGTTCGCTGGTTTTCCTTCCATTTCGTTTCGCAAAAAATGTGTCCGTGATATGAGGCCGACAAATGATGACAATGATTCAGATGTTTTTGTGTTCAGATTCATTTTTATGGTTGAGAATTTTTGAATTTGCGCATTTCGAATTTAAGCGTTCGGCCTCTGGGTTAGAATCCTTGAACACTATAAATACAATTGGTATAAAATTGCAGAATGAGGTATTGAATTGCAGATTTGTCGGTACAAAATCTGGTCCATCGGGTGACATGTCAAATCATTTTTGATTTCAGTAATAGTTTGAAGACTTAGACAATTTACAATTTAAATATAAGTATAAAAGAATGGAAAAATCATCAAAAGTCTTGTAGGACAACCAATTACAAAAATATATGCATTCAATGAAAAAGCTTGCACTTAGAAGCCTTTGATCTTGACTTGCAACTGTTCTCTTCGGATTCACGAAATATAATGTTGCACACCCACTTCAGCGGGTGCGTACGCTAACACCACGGCTGACAATGATAAAATATTGTTTGGTATTAGACGTACAGCATGGCTAAATTGAATCGAAAGATTGAACAACTAAATTCAGTAATTTTGTTTTTAAAATTCTGATGACGCACTGAAAAATCAAAAGTTTTCTACAGAAAGTAATGATGCGGTGAAATTTATATATTGTAGCGAGAGACTTGCCGAGCGGAAATCGAATACGTGTGATAAAAATTAATGCCCAACATAAAGTTCTGATTAGAGCCATAGAAATAGACCAAAAAAAAAACAAATTGTAAAATTTAAATTTATTGTGACGTTTCGTCTTTACTCAAGACATCTTCAGACAAATAATAAATAGGACGTTAAGACAAGGTATTATATTTACAAAAAGGTGTTAAATTACTACTAAAGGAAGCGGTGTCGAATGGATACATGATAAGGAAGTTTGGAAGTGAAATGAAGAGAAATTAAAAGAGGTTAAGTGGAATGGAGTTTCCTTGCACATTAAGTGAAGGCTTGTGTTTATTGATTAGAAGGCTTTCATGGATGGAGAATAATAAATTTAAATTTTACAATTTGTTTTTTTTTGGTCTATTTCTATGGCTCTAATCAGAACTTTATGTTGGGCATTAATTTTTATCACACGTATTAAATTTATATATGTTTATGTATTGTGAAGTGCAATCATGGTAGCTTTGCATATTCTCGTTTTACTTGAAACCATCTTAAATTTGTTTCATGTTGATTTATATGTTATTTTTGTCATGATGATGTTTTTATTGACATTGACAGAACAACTTAAGAAAATGCGACAACTCATCTATAATGCACGATGAGCACTTAGATGAGCATTCATCATCCAATATATATATGAGCAGTATTCTTTAAGTATTTTATAATCAATACAGACGTTCTTGCCCATTATCAATTGCAGGATTAATACTATATTGAAATGCAATTACTGCATGTGTTGCACTGGCGTTTACTACCTAAGAAAAACGTACAATGTTTTCTGGTATTTATGAAAGTTTTCCCTTCTTATTTAAACTAGCAGCATGCAACGCAACACTATTTGCTTCTACTAATAAATTTATTGAATTAAAAACACTTTCGTTGCTAAGAAACTATTGAAAATTTTGTAGCTAGCTAACATCGGCGTGTAAATGATCAGAAAATTTTTGAATATATGTCATCTAAAAGTGCTGGTCGGAGTTGTTCATTGCAAGAGCTTTGAAGAAAGAACTATAGATGCAAAACTTAGTGAAGAAATTTTGTTAGTTTTGTTAGCACATAGTTTTTTTGGACTTACTGTGCAGGAAAACGAAAAAATTCCATGTAAACGTCGTTTGATTTTGTATACAGGAAACATTGCTTTTATCAATTTTATCGATTGTCAGAAGACAAAAATTTCTTGCTCTTATGCTACATGTGTTTATTACTTGAACTACAACTTCTTTAGTGGAACTAGCTACAATTGCTTTCAATGACACCAAACAACATATGAATTCTTCTTATTATACTTTGAAGGACTTTTAACTATGGCAAAATTCAGTTTCAAACAGAGAACATAGTATGTTGTAACTCTTATTTAGCTTCTTAATTCTCTTGTGAAATATATGCCTTCCTCAAAACATCAATTGGAAGTTTTAAAATGTAAAACTGTTCGATCCAAATTTATAATCTCCACTGTGTGAAAAATTTTATTCCTCATTACAAGTTGTCTACACAGCAAATTGAGTCACGAAATGTTTCTAAAAAGAAAATGGTCTAGTGACTTTGTCATCTAATTTTTACCTTTTTCAGCATTTGGGTTGAATTGTTAATGTTTTGAAATGATGTTACCAATAAACATAAACGTAGATGTCTTCTGCCAATATTGTTTTAAAATATTCTTTTCATTAGTAGAACCGTGTGTTTTAGTATGCGGTTTCGTGACTCTCGGCAGATGAAACAAGCCATTATTTTTCACGTCAACAAAAGTCACTTGAATCAAAATTGCAACGAAAATGTCCAAATTGAGATGATTTAAGAAACATATAAACGTTGAGTGAATGTTTTGAACATGGGAGTATCGTTAAATGTTTTTAGATGTAGATCACGCAGGTTAGCTGAGTCTTGAGAAGTCAACATCAATACAAACAGTAGCTACTTCTCAGGACTCTATTAACCTAGACGTTCCGCTTATACAAGCTTATAAACCTTGACTTAACTAATGAGTTTTTTCACAATTCAGCAAATAGTTATAAACAGATGAAAATGCAAAGAAATTTGTTTAAGTTTTGCACTGTCCTAGCTCAAGCTACGTGCGCACAGTTGCTATTGATTAGAGAAAAGATGAATTGGTAATTTTGTTAATACAGTTTTGTTTAACTTTGTATTAGATAACACGAAGTGGAATAGTTATAAAATGCAGATTTGAAAATAAGGTTGTAGCCAATCTTAAACTCTTTTCTATTAGACTGGTTATTTATGTAATGAACGTAGATGTATCCTGTCTATATATTTCTTAGAAAGAGAATCAGATAATGTCTGAAAAAGCCTAAGAGAAGTTTACATTCAAAGAAATGGATAAAATGAAATTTGTTGTTTCTTCCCATTGTTTTTTTAAACAACATACGCAAACAATTATAACAAATGTCAAGCATCAGTAAAAATGACGTAAGTTTTTCTAAAATTGAGAAATGGTCTATTTTTCCAGTGTTATATTTAAATTAAACTTGTACTTGCTCATCCTATCGATCGATGCTATAGCTCACATCTTTGAGTTCATAATGCTGGGCAATATTCATGTAAATTAAGAATTCTCGAGCTACTTGTTCATACGTGTTCAATTTCTTATTTCAGGTAATGTAGGAGACCTCCCATATTGACAAAGTGTACTACTATATAGATCTAAGCTGTGTAATATTCGCGGGATAGCGTATGTCGAACATTTAAGGTCTGCATGTCTAAGCTTGAAAACCATCTTGAAGAATTCACAAAATTTTTGTAAAGTCACTCATGACAATTAAATGAGCAGCGTCATGGAAATGTCAACAAATAAAGAAATTGTCGTCTTTTTCAATGAGCAACTTGTTTCTTTATGCAGCTTATAGCCTTATTGAATTTTGTCCTTCTTGTGTTATAAAAGAAATTCTTTCTCAAGCTTAAGACAAACGTATTTTTGCGCACACGAAACTAATGGGGCATTCTTTTCACTGAGAAAATGGCTTTTATAATTCTAAAGTTTGTCTAGTTTGACAACACGTATAACAGAATTGGAAGATATAGGTGCATGGTCAGAACGTCAAAAAATGCTAAGAGCAACAATCTAAATTTCTCTCACTATCATTTAAGCATGAATATAGATAGATAATAAATTCTTTCAAATGTTTATATAACTAGTTGCATCAAAAATCAAATTCCAATAATTTGATAAGTTACTTTGAGCTTTAAGCATGTACTTGTTCTTGGTTCTTGTTGATTTTCCTAAATGAATGCAAAAGATAGCAAAGTAAATAGAAAATGTGGAATGAGCCTCTATATGATGAAGTAATGCTTGTACAAATATAAAATAACAAGCACTTTCAGTGAATTACAGCTCATTTATTACATTTATTATTCATGACAACGCTCGTGATAAAAACTTTCAAAGTAGTACATCTGTCATTTTAGTACTGGTATCAGCGACATCGATCTAGTAAAAGATAACAGGTAAATGCTTTGTATTAAATAATATTGTGTATTTTTATACTAGTAAAATACAAAATAGGTACGATTGCGTGCAAGGGGATGGTTGCAACCCACCAATATGTACATGTTATATCCTTATTAAATTTTTTAAGAGACATTAAACGATAACGCAGCACATGAAAAGCCACTGTAAAGCGTCATGGAAATTGTATGTTTTGTCGTGACTCACTTAACTAAATTGAAAATTGAAACAGAACGCCAAAATATCCCATGAAAAACGACTAGCCATCACATCAATCTTATAGATATGTAATCCTTTGAAAATATACGTGAATTTCATTTTTGTATAACTCCTTTTTATTTTCATTACTGAAAAAGCCAGCAATTTCTGTCTCAATTAAAGAAAATTAAATCATCGTGTTTTTAGCAAAGCAAAGACCTAAGAAATCGCTTAAAGCCATTGCTTTCATAAACTTTGTGAAATTATTTTTAGGTTTGAAAAGTTACCAGAATGGAGATTGTGTTTAATGCAGTAGAAGAGTACGTAAATACCAACAATGAAACTCTTGACAAACGGACTGAATATTTGGATAGAATGAAAGAAGAAGCCGCTAAAAGAAAAGATGAAGGTAGGAAGTTAATGGATTCATTACCTGAGCTCCTTCAAATGGGCACTTCTTTGGAAATACAGAGTCTCAGAAAAAAGGTGGAAGAAAATGAGAAGAACATTAAGAATCTGCAAAAGCAAATTGAAGAAAAAAACAAGCAAATTGAAGAAATGCGAAAGAGCGATGATGCAAATTCATCAAAGCAAATTGAGGACCTGCAAAAGCAAATTAGGAAAAAAATCATGGAAATTGACGATTTGAAAACGCAAATTGAGGACCTGCGAAAGACAAATGACAGAAAAGATGTACGTATTACCGAAAACAAAGTGAAAATTCAGATATTGAGAAATCAAATGAACGAAATTCAAAATATCATCATCCATAAAGACCCCGATATAAATTAATTACCAAGAGAACAATATTACCTTAATTACACAGACATACTATATCAACGTATTCAATTTAACTTCTACAGCTATCATGCATGAATAATAATGCACCACTCTGTTATTTTCTGCTAGTCTATAACTTTAAATATACAAAAATTGCATATGCATAAAGCGCACTTCAATAATGTACTCAAACAGTGAACGAAAGTAACAGAAAATATCCACAATTGTCATTTTGCAACTTTTGTAAGCATCTATTGATTATTTCTGATTCTTTCAAGCATCAAAATAAATGTCTTAGAAATTGATACTGCTGATTTTTGATTAGTTTGGTTACTCAAAAGGCCCGTTGACACGCTCTGATTGTTTCTGTTCCGATTTTGGGTTGCTGTTTTGACGGTCCGATAATTTTGTTGATATTTATGTTCATTTAGATAAAGCAAATGGTAAATCACTCGGCGTTTATCCAAAGTTTCTCTGCTTTCCACTACCAAATGTCAACAATCAAGATAATTCATTATTTCACTTATAATGAAGATGGCATCATGAGATGTCGAAACATGTCCATTTTGAAAAACTAGTCGTATATATTAAATGCGTATTAGCAATAGTGCTTCTACGAAATTATATAAACAATAAGGATAACACTTTCTAAGATTGGTAAGACTTATCATAAATTGCTAATAAATATTTTCAGCTATTTACAGACACTGAAACAGCTATAAAGTTTAGTCATTCCACCTAGGATTTTTCAAACATGAGTCATAAAACGTCGGAGGCGCTCCGCACCTGAGGGGTGGGGGTCTGAGGCATTCTCCCCTGAGAAATTTTGAATTTCAGAGCCTTGAAAATGCCATTTTCAGGGTTTTAGAGCAATACAAAATGTATTTTGTGGGCATCGTTTTTGCGTAAAAACAACACATTTTGCTTACGTTTTTTCAAAAAAACAAAATGAAGTGAACAATACTTGAATGTTTTGCCAAATATTTAGGCTCGTTATCATGCCAAATATATGGCTCATTAGCATGTCTAGGAACGCAAAATTTATTTTACAATAATATGCTATTCAAAAACAGAAATAGTCTTTAAAAATTTCTACCAAGTTGTCATGCATAGACCCCCCTAGAGACCCCCATTCAAACCTCTATGTAATGAGTTAAGTTAGAAATTTGGTACTACAAGTGACAGTTCATAGGTATAGCAAAGCTCAGACTTCAAACCATGCAAGTTTATTGTAACCCTTTACCCATCTCCACATCACTGCCAGCAAATTCACCTTTTGAGAAAAAAATCAAAATTTTTTTCTGCCAAAATTAAGCAAAAATTATCAGAGTGAAAACTTGCAGTTAAGAACAGCTTAATGCCATAAATGTTTATTAGGCATTTCACTAGACTATTATCTTCTGCAAGGTGTGCTATATAGCAATCACTAGTAGAATTGTATTTGCAAATACAAACAGAATGTGACCAACATGTCTTTAATTATATAATAACATGAATGTTAAAATTGGTTCATGTGTCATGCTTACTGGTTATGATAAATTATAATGATCATCAGAAAAATTACCTAGTGATCATGAAAAATACTTTGCTGTTTTGCTAAATTTCAAGGTTTATCTGCATACATAGAAAGACAATTTTACTTTATAGAAAATGCTTTTCATACATCAATAGCCCTTTGGAATTTATGGCAAACAATCTGGTATGAGCCGTAGATTAACACACCTTTACATTTCTACATGAGGTGTTCAGTTAGAAAAGGGGACAATATGTGACATGGGAGAACATTTCATGTATGTGAAATACTCAGGTTTAATACCATTCCAGTCAAATTGTCAAAATAAAAAGCTTCATGGATCAGAAGACTCAAAATCACAGGTTATAGTAAACAGCTTCTCATGTAATCAATGTTAGTTTTCTCAAATCTTAAACAATATGTAGTATAACTGTCTAATCATTGAATGATCAATGATCATAAACTGAAAAGCCCCAAACATTTGTTTATGATAAAGTAAATAATAGTATGGCGTCTTATGGCTACAGATTTTATGTCCATTGAAATATATTTGCAGGAATGTAGGATTTCGCGGCCATATAACGGCCACGATTCCCCAAGCACTAAAGAAATCAAAAGTCCTTCGGCAACAACAATTTTAGAAGCGTCAATCTGCTTACCATACACCATATTGACATAAATCGCATCACACACTCGCATAAATTAACTTTGATATATTACATTCATGCATAAACTTCACTTACGATTTTGAATGTAAATTTCTGCTGATAAAACTCAAAAAAATGTTGGCTTTCTTTTGAACATCAATGACTGAAATGTCGCTCGCGAGATCGTCTTTGCCAAGCATTTACAATCTATCCATAAATTTTTCACCCTCTTGAAAACATTCACAGTTTGGACAGCAGCATTCATGTCAATATATGAATTTGTAAAAGATTTCCATAAATTCCATCTGATTGTAGTTTAGTTTCTATCATGCTTATAAAAATTACTATGAAACGATCAAACATTCAATTCAGACAGTGAGCTTGACTATGTTAGTTCAGTTGGCTATCAGTCGAAATCCGTCAAACCAATCACAGTAAAACAAAAATTCAAATGAATTGGACTCCCTTATACGTCCGGCCACCCCTCTTATCAGTCGAGACCATTCCAGACTGTCCACTGATCTGGCCATTGACCAATAAAATAAGCGTTTTTGGCGTTCATAGACTCCTTTATCCGTCGAACCAGTCAAGCCACCCCGCTTATCAGTCGGTTATTCCAGGTCAATTAAAATTCAACTGATCTGGTTACCAACGAGATATTCATTGGATTAGTCATTAGTTTTCAATAAAAAATAAAGCTGGATTTTTATCACGAAGTAAATGCGATAATAAAGTAAGAATAATTAATGAATTTTTAATTAATATGAATAGGTAATTTTTGAATTTCAAGCATCAGTCGCGCGACGGATTTGACACTCTTGATCCGCCCCTGTTTTTTACACACAACATACAAAAATAGGACATTGCTTACATGAATTATGTTATTGCTGAGAAATCGCTGATGTGCAGTATTTTCGTTTTAATAACTTCTTGTAAATCACCGAATTTCTTTTTTATCACTGTTGTTAATAAACTCTAATAATGTTTTTCTTCGAAATGGACTTCTGGCCTTTCCTTAGGAGCAAAAACATGTAAAGCCCAACAGTACAATCCTCTATTCCTTTCTATTTTACACTTATCCAAATGTACGCATTGCGGGTCTATTTTTTAAGAATCTACGAATCTACGAATCTACGACAAATCTACGAATTACAAAAACGAAAGTTCATTTTAGCCACGTGACAAATAACACGTGGTATGGTATTTAGTATGAAGAAACTGTGACATCAGTCTCTGATGTCATAATAAATTAATACTTAAAGCTCAGGTCTTAGTAAAGAAACCATTTTGTTGTCTTATTTCTTTCATTGTGCGTCTAAAGAAGAAGGGAAGAAAGTTGTCGACGGCAATTAATTTAAGGTTAGATTTTTAGCTTTTTATCACAATAATGATCGAATGAGTAAGTCAACTTTGCTGTTGCGCCGTCTTTTGCTACGCTTTAGCGACGTTCGATTGTGAATGAGTAAAATTTTAGTGAATTACCTGAAGAGTCTTCAATCCTAAATATGTCGCAAAATACTTTAGCTGTTCTACAACATGTAATACCAGCGAATAGATTAGAATTTTTGCATTTATCCGATGCTAATAAGTTTTGTAAGCGAACGCATGGATAAGCTAGAATATTTAAGATATCATTCCTTTAAAACATTTTGTACATATACTGCACTGTCTTTAATTTCACAATTCTCTAATTTGCCAGGAATGTATTATAAAATGTGTCACAATTTAAAAATAACAAGAGTGAAAGCAAAACTTTGCAAGCATATTTTTGCACTTTGCCAATATATCTGCACATTTAAACACCAAACATATAAGCAAAAAAACTCAAACTGTCATCCTCAGTTAGTCAAAAGTAATATTTAGGCAACTTGGTGAAAAATTTTAACTTATTATGTTACCCAAGCATCACCAACTTAAACACAACTTTCACCAAGGTCATTTTAAAAACGTGTTAACATGGTTTCATATCCTTGTATTTGTTTTGTAACCATGCAAGAGGTAAATAAATTATTTTTAATGAATTTACACGACAAGTTTCTTGAAATAGACCTGCTTCGACATGTCATGTTGCCATCTTCAGTATGAGTGAAGTAATAAATAAAACAAGGTTTATATAAAAAGGTTTGTATAAGGTTTTTATAAGGTTTGTATCATATTACTTTTATATAAACGTTGTGTTATTTATTATTTCACTTATACTGAAGATGACATGTCGAAACATGTCTATAATAATGATCGGATGAATAAGTCAACTTTGTCATTTCCCCCGTCTTTTGCTACGCTTTAGTGACAATGTGTTGTGAATGTAAAATTGTTGTGAATTTTTTAAGAGTTCTTCAATCCCAAATATGTCGCAAAATACTTTAGCTGTTTTAAAAAAAGTAAGACCAGATGATAGATTAGAAATTTCACATTTAACTGGTGCTAATTTCATTGCCTGAGAGTTTTGTAAGCGAACGCGAGGATAATTTGTGCTATCGGGTTTTGTATTATGTCAAATGTTAACAACCAAGATAATTTATTATTTCACTTATACTGAAGATGGCATCATGAGAAGTTGAAATATGTCTATTTTAAAAAACTAGTCTTATATATTAAATGCGCGTTAGCAATAGTGCTTCTACGAAATTATGGAAACATTATTTACGACTTAGCACAAAAATACGAAGGAAAGGTCTCCCTATCAGAAATGCGGAAGTTTGAAAAGCTTCAAACCAAACAAAGGAAAGCAGAACTAGATGCTATGTTTCTTAAAGATTGTCTTTCACTCGGCGTTTATCCAAAGTTTCTCTGCTTCCAGTACCAAATGTCAACAACCAAAATAATTTGTTATTTCACTTATACTGAAGATGGCATTATAAGATGTCGAAACATGTCCATTTTAAAACACTAGTCGTACATAATATTAAATGCGTATTAGCAATAGTGCTTCTAAGAAATTATATAAACAATAAGGATAGCACTTTTTATGATTGTTAAGACTTATCATAAATTGCTAATAAATATTTTCAGCTATTTACAGACACGGAAACAGCTATAAAGTTTAGTCATTCCACCTAGGATTTTTCAAACATGAGTCATAAAACGTCGGAGGCGCCCCGCACCTGGGGAGAGGGGTCTGAGGCATTCTCCTCTGAGAAATTTTGAATTTCAGAGCCTTGAAACTGCCATTTTCAGGGTTTTAGAGCAATACAAAATGTATTTTGTGGGCATCGTCTTTGCGTAAAAACAACACATTTTACTTACGTTTTTTTCAAAAAAAAAATGAAGTGAACAATACTTGAATGTTTTGCCAAATATTTAGGCTCGTTATCATGCCAAATATTTGGCTCATTAGCATGTCTAGGAACGTAAAATTTATTTTACAATAATATGCTTTTCAAAAACAGAAATAGTCTCTAAAAATTTCTACCAAGTTGTCAGGCATAGACCCCCTAGAGACCCCCATTCAAACCTCTATGTAATGAGTTAAGTTAGAAATTTGGTACTACAAGTGACAGTTCATAGGTATAGAAAAGCTCAGACTTCAAACCATGCAAGTTTATTGTAACCCTTTACCCATCTCCACATCAGTGCCAGCAAATTCACCTTTTGAGAAAAAAATCAAAATTTTTTTCTGCCAAAATTAAGCAAAAATTATCAAAGTGAAAACTTGCAGTTAAGGACAGCTTAATGCCATAAATGTTTATTAGGCATTTCACTAGACTATCATCTTCTGCAAGGTGTGCTATATAGCAATCACTAGTAGAATTGTATTTGCAAATACAAACAGAATGTAACCAACATGTCTTTAATTATATAATGACATGAATGTTAAAATTGGTTCATGTGTCATGCTTACTGGTTATGATAAATATCTTCTCATATGATGAAAGCTCTTTAAATGTAAATCTGAAATAATTTAGTTTAGAAATTATAATGATCATCAGAAAAATTACCTAGTGATCATGAAAAATAAGAGAATCCAAGAAATCTCAGGCAACGTCAGCGACCCGGCATTGTCAAAGCAACCTAAACCTACCAATGGTTATCACTTTCCCAGCAAATGATAACATTATAACGCAAGACCGTAAAATTGTTGATAAGACTTAGCTAATCTATCACCGAGTCAATAATCCTGATATTATCTTATCGTCCTGCATTTTTATCGCTTTTTCAATGGAAATGGACATCGTCACACTAAAAAACATTTTAGGTGTCATCGAAAATTTTTCCATCGTATTTTAAAAGACACCGAAACATCGTCAATCTGAGTTGAAAAACACATTTGCAAGTATGCATGTAATGCAAAGTTGTAAAAAAGTTGTAAAAAACTACATCCCTTCTTAAATTGATTATTTTCTCCTTCTGTAATTCACATAATGTTAAAATTTTTTTCACGTTACAATCTGATGTATGGAATTGTGCAAAGTTTATTTTCTACAGTCATTACAAAACTAACTACGTGGAAATACATTACATCAAACCAATGTAATATCTGCCTCATTTTTACCAAACAAAATATCTCTGGGATTTTTCCAACTTAAATCATTTGTCACTTGTATTTTCTTGGCTAAAAGGTTTATCTCACAAGCTATCTTCATTTTTTTACTAAAATCTTCAGCTTGCTACAACTTTCCATCTCCTTTATACATTATGTAAAGCAGCTGGTAAATTTCAACTAACCAGGATAGTTTTCTGAAAACAAACTTCTGATCATGTCCAAAGCCTTCAAAAGATTTTTCTTTGCTTCTTCAAGTCTTCCAGCTTTAAAAAAAGCAGAGACCAACAACTGCTAAGGTAATGGCAATTCCAGGATTATTAGTATCTTCAACAACATGTTCTTTCATCATTTCTAGAGCTTGCTGTGCGCAAACCAAAGCTAAACTGGAATCTGATGGTTTTTCTAAAGACAAACATCTCGCTAAATTTCCAAAACAATGGAAATGTAGTTTTTTAATCCAGTATTTTCGTATATTTGTTTGGCATTCTCTAAGCAGTTTCTCGCTCCGACGTAATCACCATTCTCAATGAAGCAAAACCCAACATTCAAAAGAGATCGAGCAATCAAAGGATGGTATACTTCTTGTGTTAACTCGTTTCTCATTGTTTAGGCTTGGCGAGTGAAATCGAGGGCTTCTTTCTTCAATCCAAGACATAATCTCAGATTATCAAGTATTAGAGCTTGGTCAAAGCCACAAAACAGAAATAGATGATTTCTTAGTGTGGCAATCTGTTGAAGGCTTCCATATCTCGTTTCGCCCGTTAAAAAAAAGATGAACCACGAACGGGTTATAGAATGGTTTTTCCCGTATTCTTGGTTACCGATAAGCGGGGTGGCCGGACAGATAAGAGAGTCCAATTGCTATCGCGTAGTTGCTTCGTTAACTCGAAAGCAGATCAGGGCAAAAACATCGATATCTTTATATTTCTTTTACAAAATAACAATAATGTGATAAAGATAAATTCAAAGCAAAGGTTTTAATATTTCCTCTAATATGTCTTCATGATTGATCAGCAAATACTCTTTGATTGATTTAACTGATGAGGCTCAGCTATCAACCAATCAACGCAGGCGTTTTATTGTTTTTATTTTATATAATGCAAATTTGTCAGTTGTCATTCGGGGAAGAAAAGATAACGAATTTTATTTATTTCTTTCCCTATTATATTAAAGTGAAATGAATAAGATGTGTTTTGAGGAGAACACACTGAAACTAAGATGGAAACCATTTTTACGTAATTAACTATTATAGAATATAAGATTGCTAGTTGAATTTTCAGACTTGCATTAGCTAGTTCTTGTGGAAACGACGACATGTAATGCTCCTGTCATTACGAATAATTTATGTATGTAAAAGTTTTATCGTGACTTGACACTCTGCACTTGCAGACTATTTAAGTTTTATAAGATATGCTAAGTCTATATGTCAAGGAAATGCTAAATACAAATGAGAGGACATAATTTCGGAGAGCTTAGATCAAATGGGTGAACTACAAATGTAAAAACAGCTGTCCATTTACTGAAATCCACTGTTTTTAATTAAAAATTTTTGTTGTAGCAACAGTTGCTAGTAGCATAACGAATTATTTGCCAACAAATATAATTCGTTCAATTTAATCAACATTCCTTCTATCTTAGATAGCAACCTGCAGTGTTTGACTGCGACTCTATGTCTGCTAAGATAAGGAGCTTCACAAATTCTAAAAGCAATCGCATTGAAAAACAGATACCATCATTTTTCTCAATACTTTTTACGGTATATTGACAAATTTCTGATTTGAACAAGCTCTTCACTTCTCTCGACACAGGTACGTCTGATTTACACGAATTTTGTCATATTTAAGTATAGACGTTTGTTCAAAGAAAAAAAATTTTTAATTGTTTGGTTTCTGATGTCTGGCGATATTGCCAAAGTGATTGTTATTGCTCTTATGATAGCTACTAAGTTCGTCTATTCTCACAGGATAAGATTCGCACCGTTTTAAATGTCACTATTTTCAGACATGGGATTTCTAGAGAAAAACTGCTGTGACGTGAGTCATAACAAGTCCCTGTTAGTGTTATATATTTTCTATTAAACGAAACTTGTACTTACCCTCTAAGGGCCATATGTAGTGAAATGCATCATAATGTAACTACTCTATGCGGTCTGCGTTAAAGAACTCGAGATTAACAAACTTTTAGGCGGACACACATAATGTGTATAGCATCGTGTTGTGATTCTCTTGGGGCCAGATAATTTCCTAATTAAGTTTCGTTTCGTACTTTCGTTTTCGCAAGCATTGGCCACTAACAGGTTGAATTGTTCGCCATGGCGGTTACTAAATTAAAAATGCAGACATGCAAATAAATAGAGAAAAGGGAAGCTATAAAGCAGCACAATTGTTTTGATGTAAAGGAAGTTTCTTGTTTCGTTCATTTTTAACCTTTTACTTCGTTTCTCATTCGCTAATATATGTGCTTTAATTCCCCTAGTTATTACTGTATTGTAAGTCTACATTATTTAATCAATCTTAGCAGTGGCGGGTGCAGGGAGGCCGAGGCCCCCCATCTGTTGATTTCTGGAGGGGCGCAGAAATGAATATGAGTCACGAAGTTTTAAATTTGGGCTAGAAAAATGAATTGAAGCAGAACAGTTATTTCCACGGTTATAATATACAGTTAATGAAGTTAACTTTGGGAAAAAGGAAGACTGATCAAAATGAAACCTTGTAAGGGGGGTAGTTTTACAGTGTATTAAGGAAATAATTGATGAGCATTCTTGATGTTTCTTAACCATCAAGGGTGCTAGTTACTGAAATTTATCAATATTTAAAGATGATTGAATGGCGGGGAGTGATAACTTTAAGAAACACAAGTTTCTGTAGATTTCTACAAATTCCTTACTATACTTTCAAGGTCATTACCAATCTAATGCGTTTCTATATGTTGGTGTCTGTTTTCTCGGAAGATCGTTTTAATAAAGTAAAAAGTAAAAAAAAAATAATAAGAGGGTAAGCAATTTTGAAAAAATATATAATAAAAAATGTGGGTTTTCCAATTACCTCTTACAGGTATACACATGCATGCTGGTAAACATGGCGCAACAAAAAAATTTCTGTTTTAGTATTATTGATACTTTTGTAAACCTAAGAAATTATTAAACATCATCTAAAATAAATTGTTTTTTTCTAAAGGTCAATTTATATACATATAATACATGTTTAAGGAAGATAATATGAGCACTTAATTAATTGCTATAAAATTTACAAATGACATTTTCATTTTGTGTATATTGGAAAACAATTAGGATAACCAATAAGGTTAACACTCAGCTGCAATTTTCAATAAGCATTGCATGCATGCAGGCATAAGGAAATGATCTTATATGTCATTAACTTACTGCTATAGTAGAAGTTATTAGTTAAGAAATAAAAGATGTTCACTGTGTTTTTACAGGCTTATGCAAATCGAGAAGACCTTAGGGAGATATAGAGAGCAGATCAATGCAAGCCCGACACCGAAGGTCGAGGGTTGCACATGCTCGAGAGTTCTCACAAACGTCTCCAAGGTTTGCCTAAACCAATGCAAACACAAAAAAACATCTTTTTATTCTTTCATAAAATAACAATAATGCGAAACATTTTAATGTTTCCTCTAAAATGTATTCATGATCGATTTACAAATTCTCTTTGACTAATTGATTGTTTAGATTGATTTGATTGGTTGAGCTCAGATGTGTTTTGCACTGGCTAATGCAAACTCAGCTCTAGACTAATCAGCGCAAGCGTTTCATTGTGTTTATTGCATATGTGAAAAAGCCAGCAATATCTGTCTCAATTAAAGAGAATTAAGTCATTGTGTTTTAAGCAAAGCAAAGACTTGGGAAATCGTTTAAAGCCATTGCTTGCATAAACTTTGTGAAATTATTTTTAGACTTGAAAAGTTACCAAAATGGCAGCTACGTTTAATGCAGTAGAAGAGTACGTAAATACCAACGAAGAAACTCTTAAAAAACATAATGAAAGCTTGGATAGAATGAAAAAAGAAACGGCTAATAGAGAAAATGAAGGCAGGAAGTTATTGAATTCATTACCTGAGCTCCTTCAAATGGACATTTCTTTGGCAACACAAAGTCTCAGAAAAAAAATCGAAGAAAATGCGAAGAACAATGCGAATCTGCAAGAGCAAATTGGGGAAAAAGACAAGCAAATTAAGAACTTGGAAAAGGAAATTAAGGAAAAAGACAAGCAAATTAAGAACTTGGAAAAGCGAATTGAGGACTTGCAAAAAAGCGATGAGGAAAAAGAAAATAAAATTGAGGACATGCAAAAGCAAATTAAGGAAAAAAACAAGCAAATTGCGAAGTTGAAAAAGCAAGTTGAGGACCTGCAAAAGAGTGATGATGAAAAAACAAAGACAATTAAAAAAATGGAAGGACGTATTACCGACAACGTAGTGGAAATTGAGACATTGAACAGTAAAATTAACGAAATTCAAAAGATCATCCATAAAGACCCCGATTTAAAATAATTACCAAAAGAACACTATTATTACCTTAATTACACAGACATACTACATCAACGTATTCAATTTAACTTATACAGCTATCATGCATGAATAATAATGCACCACTCTGTTATTTTCTGCTAGTCTATAACTTTAAATATACAAAAATTGCACATGCATAAAAAGCACTTCAATAATGTACTCAAACAGTGAACAAAAGTAAAAGATAATATCCACAATTGTCATTTTGCAACTTTTGTAAACATCTATTGATTATTTCTGATTATTTCTAGCATTAAAATAAATGTCTTAGAAATTGATACTGCTGTTTTTTGATTAGTTTCGTTACTCTAAAGGCCCGTTCACACGATCTGATATGTCGGATCCGATTGTTTCGGTTCCGATTTTTGGTTGCTGTTCAGACGGTCCGATAATTTTGTTGATATTTATGTTAGTTTAGATAAAGTAAATGGTTTGAACCCGGGAGTATCGTTACATGTTTGTAAATGTAGATCGTCCAGGTTGGTATAGTTCTGAGAAGGACTGTTTTTATTGTTGTTGTTTTTGTTATAGTCAACAACAACAAAAACAGTCCTTCTCAGGACTATACCAAACTGGACGATCTACTTTCGTTTAGATATTTATAAATGTGGGTGCAGACTTTTATGTTGTGCAATACATTTATCAAAATATTTTGCGTATATTTGTTCTTGTTTTTAAGTCTTTTTCACATCTAATGTTTTGCGTTAAATGAAATTTGGAAAGTATAGAGATTGAGAGGTCCGGGACTAGTCGGCTTTCTTTGATCTTGTCAGATGAAAATAGAGCAAGTTCTATTTTCATCCGATTTTTCAGCCTGACGGATCCGACTGTCGGAAGCTCACTTTATATGTGGTCACACGATCCGTTTTTTAGGTTCCGACAAAATCGGATGATGTGAACAGGCCTTAAGGAACGTACGTTTTTATTACGTAAAACACACTATTATAAATAGACTACAATCAATGCATTTATCCGACGCAATAAATATTCTGATTTGTTGTTGTTTGAGATATTCGTAATTGAACTTATTATTACTACGTAGTAGAACATGAACTGCATTATTCTATGTGAACTCAACAAACGAAATTAGATTGAACCTAAAATTCAAGATGTATAAGAGAAGAAAAGGCAATGCTATGTTAGATGGAGCTGGCTAGTGTTTGAATTATAGCGCTGCATTCTACTTTTGAATTGGTCATTTAGATTCAAGTGATGAAGAAAAAAATCAGAGAATACAAGCATTGAAGAATAAAATACAAGGGTTAGAACAAATCAATGTAAAATTCAAAATTCTTCAAAAGGTGTCGCTGCTCGAAGAGATAATTCGCTGATTACCTTAGTTAGGAACCAACTATAGGCCCGTTTACACGGTAATCAATTTTGGCACGGCACTCCAAATTTTAGGTACGCGAACCTGTTTTCTTGAGTGCGGCTCTCCAAATTTTTCTCGTGTAAACGGATAGCAGGCCTAAAATTTAAGGGTCGGGTGCCTTGAAATTTTAGCGTGCCGGGACCTCCGAAGCCCCGTTTACACGACAACTGTTTTGGGCACGGCACGACTAAATTTTGGCACGCGGGCCACTGTCTTTTATTAGGTCCGCTTTGTTTACACGTCAGTTTTTTAAGCGGGCCATTTTTTTAATAGGCACGCCTGATTTATAAAAACGGCCTGCATAAAGTATGAGCTCCAAAAAATAAGTGTCGGCGGATGACAAAAAAAATTAAATTTGGCGGATTATTCGAAACTTCAAACATGGCGAACTTACATAATGATAAGGTAAAGATAGCTTTAGCTTGGTATATGCACTTCCGAAAACAACAGCAAACCGTTCAAACGAGGTTTAGAAGCTGCGTTTCTTCAGGAGTATCATGTCTTAAGAGAAATAAGCGTCGATTTGCCTTAATCAAAGCAGTACTGGCCTATTTGCATAAACCACGAGAAAGGTTGTTGTGGATGCATCCACGTTCACTAGTTTGGTTTGATATGGTCGATGAACTCTACAACGATGAACTGTGGTACGCAAATTTTCGCGTGACAAAAAGCACGTTTGAATTTATATTAAACAGGGTTCGTCAAGAAATAGATCGTAAAATTACTCCCATGCGTAATCCAGTTTCTGCAAAACGACGCCTGGCCATAACGTTGTATTATTTATCGTGTACAGCAGAGTATCGAGCTGTTGCTAATCTTTTTGGCGTCTCGCGTTCATTAGTGTGTCAGTGCATTAAAGAAGTAAGCTGTGCAATAATAAAGCACTTTCCCAAAGCAATCACTTTTCCTAAGGGAGACGACCTCTTTCAAGTTTTGCAAGGTTACGAAGAGCAGTGGGGTTTTCCTATGTGAGCTGGTGCAATAGATGGCACGCACATACCAATATTAGCACCAGATAATAGCAACATAGAGTACGTGAATCGTAGAGGTTTTCACAGTATCGTGATGCAAGCGGTCGCTGACTGTAATTACATGTTCCTGGATGTGGTTATAGGATGGCCTGGTAGCGTCCATGATGCGCGAATTCTTTCTAACTTTACACTTTTCTCACATGGAAATAAGAAACGTCTTTTCGCTCCCGACATTGTGAAGGAAATTAGCGGACTGGAAATAGCACCGTTTCTCCTAGGTGACCCGAAAGAGGTAGTCTCGGCACGTCAAAAAAGCGGCACCGTGCCGAGTTTTTAGCTATATCAGCAAAATGAGCAATAATAAGCGCGAAAAGGAAATGGCGGGAATTAAAATAAACAAAGATGGCGGCGACACCAAGATGCATGAAATGGAGTGATGAAAAAACAAGAAGTCTAATAACTCTTTGGTGCGACGAAAATATACAAATTGCATTGGGTAATTCAAAAGGATCCAAAGATAAAAGCAAGGTTTACAAGTCCTTACTGGTAAGCCATTTTATTGTGATATCAGACATATTGTATTAGCTTCGACTGTGAATCGACTCGTATAGATTTTACATACTCTGTGCACTGGCGTTAGTGGAACGTTATTTGGCGGACAATATTCATGTATTCTGCTATGCCAAGCTCTTTTTTTGAAAGTGGTATCCTATTCAAAAGAAATTAGCCAGGCATAGTACAACATATGAATACTGCACCTTTCAATAGTTCATTGATGCATTGAGGCTGTACGTTTACGTATCTATAACCTTTATTGACAGTGCGTGTTATTGTAAGTTGTCCATTTACAACTTATATTTCCTACATAGTAGGAATAAATTGCCACGAACGCATTACTATTTTGCTTGGTTCAATGCATTATTGTTATTTAAAAAAGGTGCAACATGTTATTCATTTTAAAGGAGCAATTACAAGAAAGAGGCTATGAAGATATTACACTAAAAGAAGTAATTAATAAAATTAAGAAATTGAAGCAAAAATATAAAAGTGAAAAAGACAATGCTAAGAAGAGTGGGAATGGGAGAAAAAAGCCATGGAAATACTTTCAACAGTTGGATAGATTTTTATCCCAAAGACCTAATGTGACTCCAGTGGTTTTACTTGACATCATGGCTGAGGCTGATAGTCAAAAAAATAGTCAGTCGGACATGTTGAGAGATGATGTTGATGATGAAAATGATGACATCATTAATGGTATTATTTTGAAATGAAATGTTTTCACATTTTGCTTAATGATGATAATATGATCTTGTCACAAAACATTTTTTGCTTTTAATCTTACAGATATTGTCAGTAAGTATGGTAGAGGTGATAAATCCATCAAAAGATTATGATGATTATGAAAAGACATGTGATTATGAAAAAGTTATATATAGTGATGGAGCACACACAACAGAGAATGGATGTATGATGGTATACTTTGAAGAAGAACCATTTTCTTGCCCAAATTGTGACAGTTCAAATGAAACAGGTAACATTTGTATGGAAGACAATTTCTGTTTGTTATTTCATCAAAACAAGATATGTGCCCCAGCTATCTAGTAATTGTTTTCAAAATTAATTAAACTTTAGTTAATGTGGAAGTAAATCAACAGACTGTAGCTGAGAATCGAGCTATTGAATATGATAAAGGGAATGACAAACCAAAGCCAGACTTAGGAGAAAAGAGTCTTGGAAACACTTACAAACTAGGAAAGAAACAAAAGAAAAAAAGGAGTTCTATTGAAAAGAGCATGGATGCTGTCCTGGAACAATTCAGGGCAATGTCAAATGATGATTTTGAAAGGTATATTCACCTTCTTTATATATTGCTTGTTTTGTTTTTTTTGGTAAAAAATACCAGAAACTTTTGATTTGGACATCTACCCCTCAGATGTATTCAGCTTTGACAATGTCTGTCACAATCATTATTTGATTATAATTTTGTAGGTATAAAAAGCTTGAAGAATTTAAATTGGAAAAATCCGAATCAACCATATCAAACCAACCAAGTGATCGTGGGTTCATCCATAATGCCTCGTTCGACGACTGTTAATAGCTATCAAAATCGCATTCATGAAAAAAAGTAGAGATTTACTCCTTGCATCAGTCCATGACTTGCTTTTCATCAGTTTTTCCCGTGCTTTTTCCTGAAATTCGTACGCCTGCGGATATAAATCAACCATACCAAATATTTATTTTATTTAGATTATTGAAAGGCGCCATTTTGAATAAACCGCCAAATTGACGTCATTTACAGCAAAATGACCCGCTGACAATTGGAGTACCCCAAGGAAATTTACGGCCTGTCAAAATGAGAAAATTTGCTCGTGTAAACGCAAATCAAGTGCTATAAAAATGAGTTCGCGTGCCTAAATTTTGGAGTAACGTGCCAAAATTGATTACCGTGTAAACGGGCCTTATATCAACATTATTTTCCTAAGTTAGCCACATACATGAATAAATGGTCGTACTTATTTAATTTTTTAGTTACAACCTCCTTGTAAGTAGGTTATAATAGATATTGTTCAGTTCGTTTAGTTATATGATTGCTGATGGTTAAATAGTTATTAATATCACGGTTTGTAAAATGTACAACCTACTGTGGATTTCTTTTTTCGTTTGTTTCTTGATGTTTGAGCTAGAATATTTAAGATATCATTCCTTTAAAACATTTTGTACATATATTGCACTGTCTTTGATTTCACAATTCGCTAATTTGCCAGGAATGTAGTATAAAATGTGTCACAATTCAGTTAGTCAAAAGTAATATTTCGGCACATTGACGAAAAATTTTGACTTATTATGCTACCCAAACATCAACGTAAACACAACTCTCACAAAGGTCGTTTTAAGAAAGTGTTAACATGGTTTCATATCCTTGTATTAGTTTTTGCAACCATGCAAGAGGTAAATAAATTATTTTTAATGAATATTTGATGGTCCATTACTAAAAATGCCTCACAATGTCAGATACAAAATCGTCTTTTTTAAAAAACAATACTAAAAGAGGATTATGATATAAATCAGTTACGTTCTACGACAGATTTGACCTGTTTCAATTTCATGACAACAGCATAACAAAACCGACAACTCATCTTGAAATTTTAAATTCAATAAGGGTTGACATTAAAAAGTAAGTGTTTTTTTAGAATTTAGGACAAGTCTTTGAACTACAAAAATTAATCTTTGTGGTCAAAGCTTCATGTTATGCAGATATAATGGAGCCGAATGAGGTAAATTATAGCTAGTGGAGTTGTTTTAATTCCAGCCACGTGACCAATAACACGTGGTATTGTATTTATTCTGAAAATATTGTGACATCAGTTTATGATGTCATAATAAATTAATAACTAAAGATCAGGCACAGAATAGATACATAACAGAAACGCCACTCGATGTCGGAGACTTTGTTGTTCGTGTCCCCAGTTTTCGGTAATGTTAATCCGGGAACTTTACACGGCGGCCATGTTTTCAGCCAGATAAATGCAGCCTGATCGCAATGTAATTTATAGTGCCAAGGACAAGTTTTTAACCAAAAACTAAAATAGTTCGGCACATTGGCAGTTTTTTGCGTTTTTCAAGTAGATACAGTAAATCGCAGCAAGTCTTCTATGTCTTATCGGTTAATTCGATGTCGTATTTGAAAAATAAGTGTAGAAACATTCAAAGTAGAACTTGAATACGGACGACATGTCGTCTGTCCTGTCTGTTCATCAAAGTTCTAGAGGTAAGGGTCAGTTTATTTGTCTATGTTTTTTCTTGGACTGTGAGTAAACCTGCTCTGCATTAAATTCTTCAATTTTGTTTAGTTTAAAGATGTTTGACTTTTATATATTTCCGACATTTCCTTTTGGTGGTGGTAAAGTCACGATTTGCAAATTTATCGCTTAATAGATACGCAATCCCATTCGGACAAAAAGCTTTAACAAATAATCATGTGGAAACTCTGCACATACATCAACTGGTGGAATTGCCCGGAGGACTTTTAATATATTTGCCCCAACGTTGGAATTTTTGGTTGTAGCAGAAAAGCAATTGACGAAAGTATCTTCCAGTGTCTTTATGTATTCCAGGTATCTTCTAGCTGGGACATTCAACCCACCAAAATTCTTACTATCATATGCTTTGAAATAGCAGAAAAGCTGTTGATCACTGTCAAAATCATTTGATGTCAAAATTCTCTTGCATTCATCACAGCTGTGCATCTTGAATGATTTTTTCAGCAAGTAGCCAGCAACATAAGCTACAGCATTATCTTGAATGAAGTTAGAAGTCACATTATGTTCTCTATAATCTGCTGGTCCAATTGAAAGAATGCTTGGATGGGATTGTGGCATGTTGTCTACATGTTTTGGCTTTGATATATTTGCTGTTGTGCATTGAACCAAGAGGATATCCATATCTTTAGCACAGTTTCCTTTTAATGATGTAAGAAGCGCACTAAAAAAACAACTTTCTCTTGTGAACTGTATTGGTGTGGGGTTGTCACTATTCCCCCCTTGTTTTCGTATGCTTCCAGAAAAATTTTCAAGTGGGTCGGTGTTCAGCCTTCTGGTAAGTAGGTAAGTAAAGTTGTGGGCTGTTTGCAATGTACTCCATATGTTTATAATTGCACTAATTGTAACCAACCAACCTTTTAATGATTTTATCCTGCCTGTTACATCCTTATTGCCATTGAAAACTTTAATTTTTTTAATAAATTGTAAGGATTCTTGCAAAAATGTGATGTGTGAACTCTTGGTTGTGATTGGTCTTCTCAACTCTTTAATTGCTTTTAGATTGGAGCTATTTACACAATCAAAGAGGGAATCAAACTTCAAGAGAAACTCTGCAGTTCCACTAGCACAAGATGATAATCCTCAAAAGCTAACATATGTGCAAATAGCTGCTGCAATGGTATGACTAAAAATCTGTGTAGCATATTTGACTTTCATTTTTTGGAAGTTAGTTGGATAGATGTGTTTATCTGTCAACTTTGGAGCAGTTCTGATGGATGCATTTTGTCTTTTACATAGAAGTTCTCTATGTCCTTCCAACTGACAACATGTTGTCCAAATTGGAAATTGTAGTTCATCAGATTGTTTCTTGTGCACTTTATCAGATGTGGTGGATCAAACATGAGGTAAACTTTCTTGTTATTGAGCAGAAACCATGGTTGGTCACAATTTACATCTAAGCAAAGAGACAAGCTATAGAAGTTGGACCCCATGTCTGATATAATGACAAGGACATTCAATCCAATTCCCTTCAATTTATCAATGACTTCTTTGATTATTTCTTCAAAAACATCAACAGAACACGACAAGTACATAACCCAATAGTTGCTTCCACCCCCCAGAAACACTTCTTAACATTAGCACAAGACCAGATGTTGCAACTTAGTTTGTTCTGCACCCACCACCAGTCTTCCACACCTACTATTTTGTCGACTGTGATATTGTAGTAAAGGTGGGTCTTTAAAGATAGCTCATCAACACATAATGTACACGTCTTTTCCATTTCACTCATATGTAGCACTTTCTCTTTTAATAGGTTTAATGTTGCTTGTGGTATGCTTGTTTTCATAGGAATTCTTGAAACAAATCTTATTGATGTCATTGATGGCAGAATAAAACGCTTTGATAGAAGCCTGTATGCTTTTCCACTAGCATGGCATAAAGAAATAGCTAATGATCGTAATTCTGGTGAGTATCTTCGACCATGTGTCTTTTTTGAGTGGAGCTTCATTTGTAACCTTCTAAAGCTGGCTAGATGCTCAGGCAGGTTTTTTAGTGCAGCTTCTAATGTGCAATCTATATCCTCTTTCACCAGATTTTTTATCCTTCTGCTCAGCCTTCGTATTTTTTTATTCTTAGTTTGAATTTTTTTTTTTTGTTTTCTCTTCCTAGGGGTGTTATTTGAGAGGGATTGGTTTGTTTGACCACTGAAATCTCGTTTTGAACACTCAGGTGCATTGTCTAAAGAAAATTTGTGGTCATTGAAAAACTTTGTTAACTAGCTTATGTGTAAAGTCTTAATGTAATCTAGCTGTTGCAAAACCATTACATTTTACCTTCTTCATTTTCATTTGATTGATTCATGGGAATATTATATATTTGGTTGCCTTCAGTTGTTTGATTTTCTTCTATAAAGAAATGTGCAACTACAGGGTTAGATGCCACTTATAAAAATTGGAAAAGTTACACTCTCCAACCTTCCATTTCATCAATGTTAAAACTTGCACCATGCTTATTGTCGCACTCTTTGCTATGTTGCCCTCTTATTCCTTCAAAGTGTTTTAATTAAGTCAGTATCAACAACTTTATGTACATGGTATTGCATGTCACCAACTAACCTGTAACATTGGCTATTTCTTCATGTTGAGATTTCTTTGCTGTAATCAAATTTTTTTGTAATCATTCAGTTCTCCCCGTTTTTTTATCTACTTCATTCTATGTAGCTTGCTAAGTGAATTATGTGTATAATTTCTAAGAATTCTTTTCCTCATTTTTTGTAAAAATAGTGTTTCGTTGTTTTATTTATACTTACTTGAAATCTATTGGAAAATAAAATGTGAAAAATTACTTATTTACCTGATGGAGCATATTGAATTTCTTTTCTTTCAATTGCCCTTCGTTTTTTCCCAATTTGGGGTGGAGGATTGGGAATTTTGAATAGAGTTGGCTTACTCTGAGGATTTAATCTCTTCTTTTCCATGCTGGTGAACATGCAGTCCTCAAAATGATCTGTACACAGTTTACAATTCTTGTAAAGATATTCTGCACTTTTGCCCAAAAGATCTTCACGACGACAATTGTTTACCCATTTCTTTGATCTGAAATACAAAGAAATGCTTAAATACTTAATTGCCCATGCAGCATTACATAAAATTTCCATAACACTTGCAAACAAAAAATACGCTTACCTCTCTGGATCCTTTGGAAAACGAAAAAAACTTAAATCAGGACGAGTTCGTTTGCTTTGTGTGCAGTTGATGGCAGCACAATGAGTTCTTGACCCACTCTTTAGTTTGTTCTCTTTTGCCATGAAATATTTGTGTATGAATGACACAGAGAGAGTAGCACATAAAAACCTTGCAATAACTGTATAGCTTTCCAGCACAAAATGAATGATGGTCCTGGTTACTATTAAACATGCAAATTCACACAGCAAAAACTTTCCAAGTTTTTTGTTAAAAAAAGAGTTAAAAAACAACTTTATTGTTAAACATATACAGATTTGACAAACAAGATGAAATTACAAAGTTTCATTTTCAATGATGCAGATGCAATGCAAAATAACAAGTCAAAAAACTTGAATTCAAACATTCAAACAACAAATCTACTGGGAAATTGCCTTTCAATATCATACACGTTGTAAAAACATTCATCTCGTAACCAATACAATTCAATGAGAGAAACTTATAAAACCCGTAGAATACGAATGACGAACGTATATTGTATTAAAACTATTTCTTACCTTATTTCCTTTATATCCTGCTTAAAGGCATTAAAATTGTTGTCCATATGTGAATCAAAACCCATTAATTTTATGAAAAACAACTCTCCATAATACTAATCTGTATACATTCTGGCCAGTTTATCCAGAGCCCTCTATAGTATAAGAGTTGGGACAAACGGTCTGGGGCGAGCGCGGAGCCGCCATTTTGGTTCCTACTTGCAAAGTGAAACTATAATAATACTATTGGAAATTGGGTTTATATGCAAAAGAAGAAAGCAATTTAAGCTTATTCCATGGTAGTATCAAATATATTAGGAATAATAGCAAGCTCTTTGCGTTTTTTTAACGATTTGCGGCAGACCTGATTTAATTTCATTGGTTTGAGCTTCGTTTGCGGTTTACTAGTTCGTGCTTCAAATTGATCGTGACCCATTGTAAGAAGTATTTTTCGTACGTGAACGTGTTTTCTCGGCTTATGTTCCGACTCTGTAACAAGTTTTCAAGATCTTTAAGCTTGGTGGCAAGCGGCAATGTTATCCTGGCATCAGTGTTATCAAATACTTGGACAAGACTTTGTTCGAAACTTCGAATCATAGTAATCATGCAGATTTGGTCCGGAGAGATTTGTGTTCAAGATTTGTAACAATTTAATGGTAGTGAGTGATTTATGCCCCCCCAATTTAATCCAAGCATGATATTTTTTATTCTGAAAGATCACAAAATTTTCTTGCTCAGCAGAAAATGACAGACTTTTTTACTTTTTAGTTATTGAAATATGCAATGATTTGACCAAGATGCATTTGGCCTTAAACGTTTTATTCCTTTATATGAAGTTATTTCGCCTTTATCACTTTATAAAGTATTAAAGTTTATTTCTAATAAAGTTTGTTAGGGATTCTGCTGAAAATTTTGGTGAAGCATTTCTTTAAAATGAATATATTATTTCTATAATATGAAACATTTCTGTTGTTGAAGAACAGTCTGTTTGCTATAAATGCTACTGTTTGTAGTCTTTTATACAGCATATGAGTCTGATCCAATCTTTAATTTAGCAAAGAGTTAAATTTATTGGTTGAGGAATGACAAAACTTCTATATGTGTTTAATGATCAAACAGGGTGTGTTGGAGGAGCTCAGCCCGTTTGTTCAAATTCTATGCCTTGTATTGCCAGTGAAATATATATATCAAAAGCTAGCAGCACCTAAATATATATCAGAAAGCGGCAATATTTTAATATATATGAGAAAGGCAGCAACAGTTGTAATATACATTAAAAGCCCAAATAGCTGAAATTATGGAGATATGCCTCTGTGATCTTATAAACCAAAACCTACAATTAAAATATCATCAACAAGTCTAGAAGTAATGTTCTACTTTGAGCTACAGAAGTAGGGTACATTTGTACAATTCAATACCAAAAATATATTGTACTCAGCTGTTTCATTGAATATCCTAATTATAATTACTTCATTTTTAAATGATGAACTAAAAATACAAAATACAACATGGAAAATCATAAGAGTTTCTGTGATTTGGTGTAGTTTTTAGTATGGAAGTGGCTGAGAATTGAGAGGTTTGTAGATTGACCAATTTCAGAACATAATGAGAAATCATCTTCGATTAAAAACAAGCTTTGGAGTAAGAAAACTATTGAAACTGCATCAGCACGAACTTTGCAATGTTATTTGGCCCAAAATGTTTCTCTACTTGAGTCAGTTAATTGAACCTTATATCAAAAGCAGTTCAGCACAACAATCACCATACGCAATCAAATTTCGTAAGTTCGACGTAAAGGCATTTCTTTCATTTTTTTCGTAATCCTCGATTTATGCGATATGTAATGACATTTAGTAGCCTTCAACAATCAGTTATTACACACTTATCCATAAAAAAACGCAATATTATCTCAAAATACTGTATTACTAGCAGCAATTGCTATATAAACACAAGCTAAAATTTCAAAACTAGGAACCAAAATGGCGGAAATTGATCAGGTGATCAATATTGCCCAATCAACGTAAGCTAAACGGATAACAATAGATGTCCCAACTCTTATACTATAGAGGGCTCTGAGTTTATCTGGCTGGAAAAATGGCGGACGCAAAAGATGCGCACTAGAAAACTGGGTACAAGTCAATGAACTCCATAACAACGTTGTTGTGGAGTTCACAACGTTGTTGTAGAGTTCACTGGTACAAGTAGGGGACAGATTTTTCGCTGAGTGGCGTTTCTGTTATGTATCTATTCTGTGGCCAAACTTTATGCTACGCACTTGCACTATTTTGATTAGTAGTTTTTTTTGCATTTTCCATGGTATACTGAGTTCTCAGTCTTAATGATTATGAATGGTCTTTAGAAAGAAGACAAGGCTACGAAATAGCTTGTGATGCAGGGTAGAAAGTACATAATACTTACTCGACAGTGCTCTTTGTTAGTATGTATTGGCGTACAGAGGTTATCATTTAAGTGGGTGCAGCAAGCATTTTCTCAATGTTTTAGATTGAGAGTAACTTTTTTACTCCAGCGCAAGAAGCAGTTAGCTTGTCGGTAAATTAAACTTCGTGGGTCTTTTACACATAATAAACATGGAAATATTTCACATTAACGCATAAAAGGTCCCAGTAAAGAAATAACGCTGTCATTTGATCATACGTCAAAAGAAATAGAAAAAGAGTGTAAAATGCATGATGAAATAATTTCCGTATCTTATTTACAGAATTTATTTCTTCTGATGACAACTATACGCTATACTGCATGTTTTAAAATGTTCTTCGTTACTGAGTTATTTTATACTTTTGATGATGATGCTCCACAAAAAATAAGGAATTGTTTCATGGTTCTAGCAAAAACATTATCCCAAGCGTGTCTGACAAGTCTTGCAAAGCATTTTTTTATTGTTGATTTTACGTCCTCAATTTTTTTTCAAAACCAGATTGGTTCATTTCGTTGTTTTTGATATCGTCACATCATGTTCATACTAGTCAATTGTTACCTGAAAATCTTAGGACCAACATTTATGGAAAATTTTGCATGTGAAAAGTTTTTAAGCAGAATTATTAGCTAACTGTCTAGCTTGCAGCAGAACTAAAAAGTTCGTACGTACAAACCTGCACAAAGTATTGAAATTTAAGGTTTGCATGGGGAGCCCTATCTTAGTTTTGCACCGTGAATCCTCAAATAGCTATACTGGGATATAGATATGTTGATATTAATAAGAATAAGCAGAATGTTAGCCGAAACATACTTACTAATTTCTTCTACCTCAATATACATTTAACCGTTTTGAGCAGGACAAACTTAGAAAAAAAGGACGTTTTTATGATCATATAGATCATAATTAAATGCGTATGTTTCGTTTCTTGTTAGCTTATACAATTTTTCCTATTTTTGAGGTCGTTAAGACTAACCATATATAATAAGCATTATCAAACATTTGCAAGTACACGGAAACGAAAAGTGCTCTAGTAATATTGGAGGGAAGACATTAAAACTCAAGTTCTTAATTTATCCAGCAGTTGTTTGGGTCTTAAGAAAGAAGTATAAAGAGTGTTAAAATTAAAATCGAATACAATAACCTTGTTTTATGGGAAATACCTCAAATGAATGAATTAGTAGGTGAATGCTTATCAGAAATTGCGGGATTGCTGCGAACAGTCGACATAAACTTTGGCAGGCTTCAAACAGACGTGAACAACTTAAGAATGGAAAATGACCATTTAAAGGAAAGTAATGAACAACTAGAGGAAAGTTTTGACCGATTAAGGGCAAAGGAAAATGACCAGTTAAAGGCAAGCCATGACCAGTTAAAAGCAAGCCATGAGCCGTTAAAAGCAAGCCATGACCAGTTAAAGGCAAGCAATGCTCAGTTGAAGGAAAGTAATGCCTAGCTGTGGGCAAGCTATGCAGAAATGCAAAAGCAAATTAACAAAATAAAACAGAGCAATACAACTTAATTGAACAATATTTTGGACATAGTCACATATTTTTGAGCAGATTTCTAGCACGACAATTCTGTTATTCAACACCCATAAATTCATCATTAGCTTAGCAGCACAATATTCTTGACATGACTCGACCCATTTCCCCACGCGACCTATATACTGGTGAAATCTCGATTTGTGTCTGTCTGTCTGTCTGTCTATCTGTCTGTTAAAAATTCCGGGGGGGGGGGATTTTTAGGGAATGAGGGGGAGTGCACAATCACACATAGTAGAACCTTCCGGAACTTCTGTAAGTTTCTGTTTTATTTTAAACGATTGTTAGAAGACAAAAATTTCTTGCTCTTATACTACAAGTGTTTATGACTTGAAGTACAACTGCTTTTGTGCAACTAGCTGCAATTGCTTTCAATGACACCAAACAACATATGAATTTTTCTTATTATACATTGAAGGACTTTTAACTATGGCGAAATTCAATTTCAAACAGAGAACATAGTATGCTGTAACTCTTATTTAGCTTCTTAATTCTCTTGTAAAATATATGCCTTCCTCAAAACATCAATTGGAAGTTTTAAAATGTAAAACTGTTCGATCCAAATTTATAACCTCCGCTGTGTGAAAAATTCTATTCCTCATTACAAGCAGAGGTGTAACTAAAACGTTCATTGGGAGGTTAGTTGAGTTATGAGAAGTCATTATCAACACAAACAGTAGCTACTTCTCAGGACTCTATTGACCTAGACGTTCAGCTTATACAAGCTTATGAACCTTGACTTCACTAAAGAGTCTTTTCACAATTCAACAAATTGTTATAAACAGATGGAATGCAAAAAAATTGTTTAAGTTTTGCACTGTCCTAGCTCAAGCTCCGTGCACACAGTTGTTATTGATTAGAGGAAAGATGAATTGGTAACTTTGTTAATACTGTTGAGTTTAACTTTGTATCAGATAACTCGAAATGGAATAGTTATAAAATGCAGATTTGAATGTAAGGTTGCAGCTTATTTTAAACTCTTCTATTAGACTGGTTATTTATGTAATGAACGTAGATATCTTAGAGAGGACTTAATCTTCACCAAAATTAAACCAATCAACGTGTGCCATTTGTCTCAGCCATGTAATAAACTCTTATATATTCGTTATTTGTTGTATACACAAACTTAACAAAGGAAAACGCTTTTAACTTATTATCTGTTGCGTGTTGCAACGTTTTGAATGCCAAACAATTCAAGAAAAATTAAATGTCTCTTATTATATCATTTAAAGAATATAGATTTATTAAAACTTTTACTTGTAATATTGGACAAATTTCTTAGTTTCCCCTAAATCTATTGTGTTCTCAGAATTAAATAAAACATCGTATATGAATCTACGCAATATATGTGATGACGTAATGCTTGAGGAATAAAATAGTTTACGAATGCAAGTTTTTACAAGTAGATGAAATGCTGGTCTTAGAAATCCTTTAAACTGACCAGAAAAGTCTGATAAAGTGCACAAGCAATTTTGACTCCATGAGAGCAGAGATTAAAAATAATCTAAAATTATTTTCTTAAACCACAAGTGCCTTTATTTACCACACTATAACATTTCTATGGTTTCATGCGTCATGGATATTGCATACTGTGTCGTGACTTTAATTTAATCTAACAGGTCTCCATGTTGGTCCCTGTTTTCACGAAAGATCGTTTTAATAAAGGAGAAAATTCTACAAATAGGCAAAGAAATTTCGAAAAAAAACATAATAAAACATGTAGGTTTTCCAATAGACCTTTTCAAGATTATCGCAGCCATATTGCAGGGGTGCAAAAACATTGCGCCGAGCGCGCGGTCACGCATGGCGTCCATAGCCACATACAATTTACCAAAGATGACGAAGAAAACAGAATTCTTCCTTATCTCGACTGTTTAGTAAAACAGGACAATCAAAAACTACGAACAACTGTTTATCGCAAGCAAACACATACTGACCGACTACTAGACCAATCATCTTACAACCCTACATCACACAAAGCCACCACAATCAGAACATTAACAAGACGTGCACAAATCATATGTGATTCACCGGAGGCTGTACACAATCTCAAACGTGTTTTTGACAAAAACAACAATAACTCTGACTTTATCAAACGCAACACTTACAAACCCAACGAACCCAACGAAACGAACAACTCAGTGACAACAGCAACGATAACTTACATCAAAGGTACGTCTGAGACTATCTCGCGTACCTTACGACCATACAACATACGTGTTGCACATAAACCAATCACAACGTTACGACAAGTACTAACGAACATAAACGACAAAAAACAACCCAACGAACGACAAGGTGCAGTTTACAAAAATAAACTGCTCCGACTGCCACGCCTCCTATATAGGGAAAACTGGCAGGAACTTAAACATAAGACTTACTGAACACAAACGAGCTACTAAGAAACAAGACAAAACTAATCACATTGCCGAGCATCACCGAGTCACAAAGCACAACATTGACTGGGACTCGGAAAAATGCATTACTTATAGTACTAACTATAGACAACGGCTTACATTAGAATGTTGGTATACCAACTTGGAACAAACCCCCCTGATCAGATCACAGCAATTACCTGCACCTTACAAACGACTTATTCACAATACAAACAAACGATCAACTAAAAAACTTTAAACTTCACACTAATTCACAATGAAAATACACAATCGACACCCACACATTTCCTGTACACACAATACAATGACGTGACTCATGTTGTGTCGTGACTCACTTAACTAAATTGAAAATTGAAGCAGAACGTCAAAATATTCCATGAAGAACGACTAGCCATCACATCAATCTTATAAATATGTAATCCTTTGAAAATATATGTGAATTTCATTTTTATCTAGCTACTTTTTATTTTCATTACTGAAAAAGCCAGCAATTTCTGTCTCAATTAAATAGAATTAAGTCATTGTGTTTTAAGCAAAGCAAAGACCTAAGAAATCGTTTAAAGCCATGGCTTGCATAAACTTTGTGAAATTATTTTTAGGTTTGAAAAGTTACCAAAACGGCAATGGCAATTGTGTTTAATACAGTAGAAGAGTACGTAAACACCAACAATGAAACTCTTGACAAACGGACTGAAGATTTGGATAGAATGAAAGAAGAAGCGGGTAAAAGAAAAGATGATGGTAGGAAGTTAATGGATTCATTAGCTGAGCTCCTTCAAATGGACGCTTCTTCGGAAATACAGCATCTCGCAAAAATAGTCGAAGAAAATTTGAAAAACATTGAGAATCTGCAAAAGCAAAATGAGGACCTGCGAAAGAACGATGATGAAAAAACAAAGCAAATTGAGGGCATGCAAAAGGAAATTGAGGGCCGCAAAAGGAAATTAGGGAAAAAGACAAACAAATCGAGAACTTGGAAAAGAAAATTGAGAACCTGCGAAAGAACGTTGATGGAAAAACAAAGCAAATTGAGGACCTGCAAGAGACAAATATCGAGATGAAAGGACGTTTTACCCAGAGCGAAGTGGAAAATGAGACATTGAGCAATAAAATTAACGAAATTCAAAAGATCATCCATAAAGACCCCGATATAAATTAATTACCAAGAGAACACTATTACTTTAATTACACAGACATACTACATCAACGTATTCGATTTAACTTATATAGCTATCATGCATCAATAATAATGCACCACTCTGTTATTTGCTGCTAGTTTATATTTTTAAATATACAAAAATTGCACATGCATAAAAAGCACTTCAATGATGTATTCAAACAGTGAACGAAAGTAATAGAAAATATCCACAATTGTCATTTTGCAACTTTTATAAACATCTATTGATTATTTCTGATTATTTCTAGCATTAAAATAAATGTCTTAGAAATTGATACTGCTGATTTTTGATTAGTTCGTTACTCTAAAGGCCTGTTCACACGATCTGATGTGTCGGATCCGATTGTTTCGGTTCCGATTTTTGTTGCTGTTCAGACGGTCCGATAATTTTGTTGATATTTATGTTCGTTTAGATATTTATAAATGTGAGAGCAGACATTTATGTTATGCAATACATTTATCAAAATATTTTGCTTAATTTGCTATATTAAGTCTTTTTCACATCTAATGTTTTGCGTTAAATGAAATTTGGAAAGTATAGACAGTGAGAGGTCGGGGACTAGTCGGCCTTCTTTGATCTTGTCAGATGAAAATAGAGCAAGTTCTATTTCCATCCGATTTTTCAGCCAGACGGATCAAACTGTCGAAAGCTCGCTTTATATGTGGTCACACGATCCGTTTTCTAGGTTCCGACAAAATCGGATCCGAAAAATTGGATCATGTGAACAGGCCTTAAGGAACGTACTTTTTTATTACGTAAAACACACTATTATAAATAGACTACATTTATTGCATTTATCCGACGCAATAAATACTCTGATTTGTTGTTGTTTGAGATATTCGTAATTTAACTTATTATTACTATGTAGTATAACATGAACTGCATTATTCTATGTGAACTCAACAAACGAAATTAGATTAAACCTAAAATTCAAAATGTATAAGAGAAGAAAATGGCAATGATATGTTAGATGGAGTTGGCTGCTGTTTGAATTATAGCGCTGCATCCTACTATTGAATTGGTCAGTTGGAAGCAAGTGATGAAGAAAAGAATCAGAGAATACAAGCATTGAAGAATAAAATACAAGGATTAGAACAAATCAATGTAAAATTCGAAATTGCTCAAAAGAAGGTGTCGCTGCTCGAAGAGATAGTTCGCTGATTACCTTAGTTAGGAACGAACTATATCAACATTATTTTCCTAAGTTAGCCACATACATGAATAAATCACCGTACATAATCAGCTAATTTTTTAGTTACAACCTCCTTGTAAGTAGGTTATAATAGATATTGTTCAGTTCGTTTAGTTATATGATTGCTGATGTAACATTTCTCGGAATGTAATATAAAATGTGTCACAATTAAAAATAACAAGAGTGAAAGCAAAAGTTTGCAAGCATTTTTTTGCACTTTGCCAATATATATGCACATTTAAACACCAAACATATAAGCAAAAAACTCAAACTGTCATATGTTTCAGTTAGTCAAAAGTAATATTCGGCACATTGATGAAAAATTTTGACGTATTATGTTACCCAAACATCACCAACGTAAACACAACTGTCACTAAGGTCGTTTTTAAAACGTGTTAACATGGTTTCATATCCTTGTATTTGTTTTTGCAGATTTGACCTTTTCAATTTCATGACAACAGCATAACGAAACCGAAAAACTCATCTTGAAATTTTAAATTCAATATGGGTTGACATTAAAAAGTAAGTGTTTTTTAAGAATTTGGGACAAATCTTTGAACTACAAAAATTAATCTTTGTGGTCAAAGCCTCATGTTATGCAGATATAATGGAGCCGAATGAGGTTAATTATAGCTAGTGGAATTGTTTTCATTCCAGCCACGTGACCAATAACACGTGGTATTGTATTTATTCTGAAAATATTGTGACATCAGTTTATGATGTCATAAAAAATTTTTATAATTTTGTGAAAGGCCTATTGCTAATGCGTATGTAATATACACGACTAGTTTTTTAAAATAGACATGTTTCGACACGTCATGATGCCATCTTCAGTATGAGTGAAATAATAAATAACACAAGGTTTATATAAAAAGGTTTGTATAAGATTTTTATAAGGTTTGTATCAAATTAATTTTATATAATACAATAACGTTGTGTTATTTATTACTTCACTTATACTGAAGATGACTTACTCATCCTATCATAATAAATTAAAAAATAAAGATGATAACGATCAGGCGTCAGCATATAAGGAACCTATCTCTTAGTACCACTGATAGATTAAAGAAGAACAAGTTGGACGGCAACAAAACAAGGTTAGATATTTTCCTTTTATCATAATAATGATCGGATGAGTAAGTCAACTTTGTCATTGCTCCGTCTTTTGCTACGCTTTAGTGCAATGTGTCGTGAATGTAAAATTATTGTGAATTTTTAAGAGTTATTCAATCCCAAATATGTCGCAAACTACTTTAGCTGTTTTAAAAAAAGTAAGACCAGATGATAGATTAGAAATGTCACATTTAACTGGTGCTAATTTCATTGCTTGAGAGTTTTGTAAGCGAACGCGAGGATAATTTGTGCTATCGGGTTTTGTATTATGTCAAATGTTAACAACCAACATAATTTATTATTTCACTTATACTGAAGATGGCATCATGAGATGTCGAAACATGTCTATTTTAAAAAAACTAGTCGTATATATTAAATGCGCGTTAGCAATAGTGCTTCTACGAAATTATGGAAACATTATTTACGACATAGCACAAAAATACGAAGGAAAGGTCTCCCTATCAGAAATGCGGAAGTTTGAAAAGCTTCAAACCAAACAAAGGAAAGCAGAACTAGATGCTATGTTTCTTAAAGATTGTCTTTCACTCGGCGTTTATCCAAAGTTTCTCTGCTTTCCACTACCAAATGTCAACAACCAAGATAATTTATTATTTCACTTATACTAAAGATGACATCATGAGATGTCGAAACATATCCATTTTAAAAAACTAGTCGTACATATTAAATGCGTATTAGCAATAGTGCTTCTACGAAATTATATAAACAATAAGGATAACACTTTTTAAGATTGTTAAGATTTATCATGAATTGCTAATAAATATTTTCAACTATTTACAGACACGGAAACAGCTATAAAGTTTAGTCATTCAATCGATACATGGAAAACATTGAAACGCACGTACATGGTCTTGTCGACAATGTGGGCAATCTCAGGAAAGAAGTTTCTAATGTCAAATTTAAAACCGAATTGAATAACTTGGTTTTACCTGAAATGCCGAAAATGAATGGATTGTTAGACGAGCAATCGTCAAAGATTGCAGAATTGCTTAAAGAAATCGTTCAAGGAGAGAACAATTTGAGAACCGAGAATAACCAACTCAGTGCAAGAATTGACCAAGTGACTGCAAGCAATGACCATTTGAGGGCAGAGAATAACGAATTTAGGCAGATGTTTGCAGATATGCAAAGGCATTAACGAAATGAGCCAGAACAATTCAACTTGATTCAATAATATTTTGGGCTTTCATGCTCGAACAATATATTCACACTTTTTAAAGCAGATTTTAGACACCAAACCTATGTTAACTTAATGTCTGAAAAGCACTTGATATCCGTCTATAGCATCATTTACGATGTAATGTTTTTAAAAACATGGCTAGTTACGACGGGAATTGTAATTTTACTCGTAGATATAAACATTGCTTAGTTTAATAACTTCATTTACCCTTGTAATAATTTGTATACAAATAAATTAAGGAATAGCCATACACAGTAGGTCTTTTGTTCTTTATCGAGTTCTATAAAGAATTATTCATGGTGCAACTTTATTAACTATTTAAAGTAGGTTAAACTTAAAACTACAAAACAAGTTACTCAGTTGCTTTTTAAATGGCTATAAAATCCCCCGTTACACTGGTTACAATGCCGTAATTTTCATTCTCTCAGAAAACCGCATAATGAAATGTAAACAAAATTGATAGGTGTACGAACAATTTCGATTTGTATAACATAAGATTGTGAAACATGCTTTTCTTGTAATTATTTTCTCAAACTTCATGCAAGCAAATATGCTGCAAGTCTCAAACATGCTGTTAAAAATTATTAAAAACTAATAACGATACCTTAACTATTTTGAAAACGTCAGTTAAAATTGAGTGAGTTTTGTGGTATTTTGAAGCACAATCAATGAAGAAAGCGTATTTACAATTACGACTTACAGATATATTTTTATCGAAAATGTATTTCAATTGAATAATGTAACATACAAACAATAAATTAATAACTAAAGAGCTCAGGCCTTAGCCTAGAAGTCATACAGGGCCGGATTAAGGGCTGGGCCCAGGGCCACCCACCAAAAGCAATAAAAAGGGGCCACCCACCAGTAAAATTGCGTAACGAATCAGAGCAGACGCATTCATCATCTGAAAGGAATTGGAAGTGAAATTAGACACATTTTAATTCACGGTAATGCCAGCCTTGAACTTTTCAGAAAATCAAGCCAGCTTCTTGACTTATCTTAAGAATTAACTTAGAAATGCTTTGATGATGTAAGTTTTAAAAAGATTACTGAAAAATTTAGAGCAACAACAACTGCTCCGATCTATTGTGGACTAACAATGCATAGCAAACAAATAGTTGATGTTTGTTAGATTATAAGCTTTATTCTTGGATTAGTATTGATTTTACAATAATCTTTTTCTACTAAGGACCTGTTCATATGAGACGGGCCAGCCCGCTTAAGCCGGGCTAGGTAGCTTTGCCGATATCTTGCCTCATATATTATTTTACAATGTTTTTGAAATTGCTTTCATATGAAGAGTGGGTCAGTCCGGCTTGGCGAGATCGCTTGAAGGAAGCGATATTTCGCCATATGAATGCGAATACATTTGGCGATATT